CTCGACACGTCGCAAAGTAGAAAGTGTTAAGTGCAAAAACAGCAAATGAGACGAGCACATGTACACCCACTGGGAGTCAAAAGGTCGAGACTTGGCCTGAGGGGTCGCTGTGCTCCCAGACGGAGGGCGGTTGGGTGGGAGACGGTAGATGTTCACCAAGCTGTGATGTCTGACCTGACCTTTGTGCAACACAACAGGAGAGACACACATAGTTTGTAATACCTGAGTTTAAGTTTTAAGACTCACTCACAGATTTATTGTTGTATTATTTTTGTTTAACGTATCAGGTCAAACTTCTTTAAAGTTGCCTAAATACATGCACAAATACAAATGATGACAATACAGGCAAAATTAGGATTTATCCATCCATTATCTATACACCGCTTAATCCTCACTAGGGTCATGGGGGGCTGGAGTCTATCCCAGCTGACTGAGGGTGAAGGCAGGGGACACCCTGGACAGGTCACCAGTCTATCACAGGGCTACACTTAGAGACAGACAACCAAGCACACTCACATTCACACCTACGGAATCACCAATTAACCTCAACATGTTTTTGGACTGTGTGGGAGGAAGCCGGAGAACCCGGAGAGAACCCACGCTGCACGGGGAGAACATGCAAACTCCACGCAGAAACATACTGGGTGTCCTCACTGGGACACGAACCAGCGACCTTCTAGCTACAAAGCAACGATGCTAACCACCGCGCCTAAATTAGGATTTAGATTGCTAAAATATGATTTAAAAACAAAAAAGCTGGGCTACAAAACTAACTTGGCAACTCTGTCTAATTTTAGTTAGTACCAAGAAAACATGAACACTAAAGTTGCAGCGATTAACCAACTTGTTCTCAACCTGTCCATTTTGATCATCAATTTGTGGGTTTGAGCAATTTTTAGGAAAACCTCATTCTCTGATTCCAGAGTCTTGAATTAGAATATTTCCTGGTTTCTTTCCTCCTCTAAGACAGTAAACTGTTCAGGTTGTGGTCAAAACAAGACATTTGAGGACGTTTTCTTGTCCTTTTGAAAACACTGATTGATATTTTTTACCATTTTTTAGACCAAACAACTCATTGATCGATCAAATCGTTCGACTAATCCGCAGTGAAAATAATAAGTAGCTGCAGATTTAATGCAAACCACCATGTATTACAGCCCAGTTGACAGAGGCGTATGTAGACTTAGAGACAGCGCTCTGTAATCATATAAATAAAAGGAAGGGAGCAGAATTAGGACAAATCTGAACTTGTACACTATTTGGCTTTTATTTCCACAGTAATTTAGCTGAGTGGTCTGTCTCTTTTCACTTCCACAGTTCTAACTTAATCCTGTTTAAGCGCTGCTCCCACAGGTAGCTGTTCCAGCGTGTGCCTTCAGCTCAGACCCACATAATAGCAGCTCAGTATATTTTGACTACCTGAGCAACCTTGAGCTCGTGCCATGTTTGACCGCTTCTGATTCTGTTTCTGTGTCTGGCAAAAATAAATTAAACCGACCTCCCAAACTTAAAATCTGATTTAAATCTGTTTCCCTCATGTGTAGCAGAAATTAGGGTGTTTCTGTCCTCGGGAAGTGTGTCACCAGCTGGTCGGGATTACTGGTAAACCGTGAGCGCTCTCTAATTGGCCGTGATTGATTGAGCTGCTTCATTCCAATGTCTTTGGAGGTTTTGAGGTTTTTACTCCATAGAAAGCTGCTGCTTGGCAGGAGGTGACTCAAAGCAACTCACACTGCAAGCCTTAGCAAGCCTGCTTGTGAAACATTTTTTTTGCATCTTGATCCTCACGTCAGGATCATTCATGAGAAATCGTTTAATGGTTTACAGTGTATCAGTGAGTAAGTGTGTTTATTTGAATAGAGAGATTTGTGATCTGTAAACTTTTCCTTGAAGCAGTTGCCCCAGTTTCTGCGGGACTGGCTCGTCTCTCTTCAGCCATATCCACCTCCTCCATCCTGTTTCGTCACTGCTCAGGCTAGACAGGTGTGCCGGCAGCTTCCAGAGGGCCGGTGATGGTAACACACCTGTCCTCCCACCGCTGTAGAAGGCGCTGACAGCTTGGTGACGTCTTCACGGCCGCGTCTTTTCCCCTGTAAAGCATATTGTGCGAGTGTGACCTGTTTGCGCCGTGTGATTTCTGACTCATATGTCTGTTGGCTGCACAAGCAGAGCTTTCTGTCTGGGTGTAACGCTGCTCTCTGGGTCACAATCATGTTGTTGTTTGGAGCCACAGTGACAGCTGGTTACCCAGAGGTCTGTGGTCTGGTTTGAAAAATGCCTTAGGGGATGGTCAGTGGCGTAATGTGCTGTCACTGTGTAACTGGATTGATTTAGTTTTTCCCGTTCTCCACTCTTTTGACACAACTGGCTCTCTGTTAAGGCCACTGTCATGTGGTCAGCCGGACTCTGGTCCTGCACGAGTTGTGTGTTTCCGTCTCTGGTTCTCTAACGGTCATTCTGCTGCGTTTGGCAGCCGACCAGATTCAAGGTGTGTTTTATTTGCTTGGAGTTACGCCCACCTATTACTTTCCTGTGCAGGGAAGTTATTGGTTTTATTTTCCTCTTTTCAGATGCGTAAAGGAAAAGTCAGTTACAGCTGCTGGCGTGCTGCCAGCTTGGTTGACTGTTTGAATTGTAAATGTTGCAGCCAATCCACACAGACTGAACATGCTGCATGTGCACACCGATTGGTTTATTTAAAACGCCCTGCAAATGTCAGAAGCTGCTATTTGAAGTGGTGTTCTTTGAGTGAGTCAAGTCAAAGTACTGACGTGAACACGTAGGGATTGTTTTTCATCTCTTATCATCACATCATGACTTTAATTCTCCACACTGTGCTTCTACTTGAAAAGATTACTTTAACCGATTTGGACAGTTCTACGGTCTGTCACATGGTCTGAGTTTCAGAGCTGTCTTTGACTCTTTTTTTTTTCTGTAGAACATTTTCTTGTGATTTTTGCTTCATATTAAAACTGTTATGCATACTGCACAAGCCAAAAATGCAGCCTGTTATGAAATGCTAAGCAGACGTTTTGAGTGAAGGCCGAGGCTCGAGGCTGTTCTGTTATATCTCAATAATGAACAAATAAATCAGTCAGTCCTAAAACTTGGCAGCGAGTGAACTGACTGTACAGTCACATCATGACGTTCTCTCAGCAATCAGCTTGACAGTGTGGTAACAGCAGGCTGCCTCCACTGTTTGGTTACTGTGTGTGTGTGCGTGTGAAAAAGATACTGGCCAGCAATAAAAAATGTGCAAATGTGCTCTCATTTCCTCTCATTATTTTCCTGTTTCACTATCAAAAACCCGCTGCTGTCGCTCCCGGTCGTCGTATCATCTCACTGCTGGACTGGACCCAAACCCCAGTTCCTTATTGGCCGATTTCATGACCGTCTTTTTTCCTTGTGAGTCAGCAGGAATGTGAGGAATGACCTGTACGAGGCCTGGCCCTTTCCCACCCAGCTCTCATCTGCCCATTTTTAGGCATATCCAAGTCTAGCCTCCCTTTCATTTTTCTCTTTTTCACTTTGTCATACTATATCTCTGTTAAACGCTTTACTCTAACCTCTTGTCCTTCTCCTCCTTTCTCATATTCTTTCTCCCTGCTGCTTCTGAGCTCTTTTTCCTGCTGCCTCTTTTTTCTTTCAGTCAGCTCAGCACTTTAAATTTCCACAAATTACAGTATATAGAAGAGCCCCTCTGAGCTAGTGCAGCTCGGGCTGCATATTTTGTCAAACCACAGCGAGACCTCAAAACCACTGTCCCTCTTCATCTCTAGTGGGATGACCCTCCTCCTCCTCCTCGTCATCCTCTAGGCCCAGCAGTGAGGCGCAGCAACCCCCTTTTTCACTCCATGAGGCTGAGCTTAACAGCCACATCCAGCTCCCTTTAGCTGAAGGCACACAAAGGTTTGTGTTTCAACTCTGCAGGTTTTAACTGGTGCAGCAGGAAACCTTAAAGAGTGTGCTTGAGCGTGAGGTTTATAAGAAAAGCTTGCCGGAGGAGCTGCTCATCTCTGCATGTGTTGACAGGTTCCCGCTGTCGACCAAAAGAGAGAGATCCGTCTCCCGTATGACAGGAGAGGGCTCCCTCTTCCCTCCTGTGCTCAGGGCTGTCGCTGACATGAAAGCATCCAGCTTGTTGAGGTTGTGCGTCTGTCTGCAGGTGTACCATTATACAGACACTTACACGCCTTAATTACTCCTCTGTGGCTCGAAAACCTTTTAACTAATTGTCACTCCGAGCGATGAAATGGCTCAATGAGTGTTTTAAGTGAGCAGGCTTTAACATCTGAGTCTCTCCTGCTGCTTGATTGCTGTTCAACCAGGATGAAACGCAGCGACAGAAGAAGACACCAGACTGTTTTTTTTTTTTTTTCTTTTTCTTAAAGCTGAGCGCCAGCTGTTGCCGTACCTGCCGCTCCTTGGTCAGGCGCTCCTGTCTTTTCACGTTAGTGAGCTCGGATCACTTGTCATCACCAATCTATAAGCCGTCCATCGGCCCTGCTGACCCTGTAGCTCTGTGCCACACGGGATCTGTCTGGACATCACCCACCTGAGCGCCTCTGACATGTCTGCTGTGACTGTGATTGATTTAATTAGGCATCACAAACTGAGTTCCCTTAAACTTTTTACGACAGTCTGGCTCTGTGGATGGACAGCTGCGTGTTCGACTGGCTGAAAGTCTGCATGTTCTTGTAAACAACAGTTAATTACAGAAGGCAAGAGACGGCAACTGTCAGAAGTCAAGGCTGCGACTTGTGCTTGACAGTGCTTTGACCCTGCAGTTACACTTACGCACCGCCCTGTACTTACACTGAGAACAGGCCTTGTAGCTGCAGATTCTTATGTAACTATGTCTCCATGCATTCACTCAAAGATGCAAATATAAGAGCGACAGGTGACTAATCTTTGCAAACCAAATGTTTGTCATCCTGCCATGTTGGTGCACTTTTAACCCTCGTCTTCGTGCCCTGTCCCTGTTTGTCTTTACTGTGCAGCTGGATGGAACCGTGGACCTGGACGAGAGACGCCTCATCCGTTCAGCCATCCGGGAGCTGAGGAGGAGGGAGATTGAGGACATGGAGGCCGCTCTGGCCAGCAAGAGATTTCGACCCACTCGCCTCAATCAGCAGGAGGACAAAGAGAACCAGCACAGGTGAGATCACACAGACACCTACAGAGCTGTCCGAATGACAAAGTGCCGCAGACCAGGTGAAATGGAGATGCTGAGAAAACATTCACAAACCCAGATGCAGCATTCTTCAACTCCAGTGGGAAAAATCTGGAAAAGTCAAGTCAGGAAATCATCGGGGACAGAAAAGTGCAACCACAGTAAACTTTCCAATTTCCATCATGTGTGCTTATTTTACAATAAATACTTTTACTTTGAGAAGCCTTCAGCTCACGACAGTCACATTGAAGTATTTTTTCATCATATGCTTTATTTGTATTTTCCATTTTGAGTTCTCTCAGTGTTTTCCAGTCCAGTAAATATAATCTTAGCTGTCATTCAGCCGAGGAATGTGGATAAAGTGATAACTCGGCTGTAATGCTACACTGCCCCTGCCGTTCTGTCAATAAACACGTTTTTTTGCTGGCAAACCAAAAGAGAGAGACCGGACAAACAGGCTTGAAAGTGTCAACGGAGATCTTTTTTTGTTCCTGTAAACAGTGTACTTAATGGCATTTTCATAAGGATGGACAAAGGCACAGACTTTTAACAGTGTTATTTTTCTGGATTTGCTATGCTCATTAAATGCAATCCATCCAATCAAGCTAAACTGCAGATTTTAATCTATGAGATGAAAGAAGATGCTGCTGTCTGTAGTTTTGGCAAAACTCGCTCAAGAAATTTTGCCCTACAAGCTTATATCAAACAGTGAGTCAGCAAATCAAAAAAAACAACAACTGGGGAAACCTCTAACTCTGCAGAACACAGGGGTTCATTTAACACTGGAACCCCAACTGGTTCCTCTCACATTTTATCTCACTGCGGTCTCATTTTTACTGTAATATAAAGTCCTGCACCTCTATGGAAACAGCACAGCCATGACTCGAAGGAGACAAAACTCCACAATGTGTTCTGTAAAGTATGTCACAATTTAATGGTATGAGAAAAAAAAAAGTAATTTCTTTGATTATTTATTTCATGAAATTTGAAAAAACCTGGAATCAACATGTGCAACATTTTCCAAACGCCTACAGCTGTTACCAACAATAGAATAAAATATGCATATTTTACTAGTTACGTTATTAATTTCTCTCGTGCTGTTTGGCTGAAAAATCCCCAAATTTTTGTCATGTGACTGGCGGTTGCAGTTGAGTCACTGATGGCTTCATGTTTGTTCTGAGGACTGCAGTGTTTTTTGATTATTACAGAATCTGGTTTAAGCATCCAGGTCTGTTTTTGTTTCATTTTTCAATGTGACATGTAGAATAAAGTCATTTTGATTAAATTTTTAGCTTCGATTTGGTTAATTTTCCTGATGGAACCAGAAGTCACACATGATTAGTTCGAGAACAGTCAGAAAGTTGAAAATCCTTTAATTCTTTCTGTACATTTTATAGCTATGAGGAATGGTGTCATTTTTTTTTTTTCAAAAAAAACTAACATGCCTGTCAAAACTACCAGCAGGTTTTGGGTACCCCAGGTTAAATTCAAGGCTTTAGCAGAATCCCAGCATCTGGTGTTTAGCAAAGTGAAGATTTAACACTATTTGATGTGAGGAGGACACCCAGCCTTCTGCTGCTGCTGCTGCTGCTGCTCTCTTTCTTTGTCACCGAATCCTAATAAGACGAGTGGCAGCGCCTAATCATTTCCATTCGCTGCTGCTCTCAGATGACTTGGGTTACAAAAACAAAGGAGCTGCCTCATTGAAGCTGCTAAAGAAAGCATACCTACTGTCGCACATGCACGCACATATGCACGTGTTAAAACACACACACGAAAACCCATCTGAAAGTTTCATTATCCCGTGCCTCTTAATGGTGGAATGTGAAATATGCCACTCCAACGTGCCACACATCCTTTAATACCAACGGCTGGAGAAAAGCGAGGATAATGAGAGAACTGGAGGGAGCGTATGAGTAATAGAAACCAACATACAAGCAAGCGGTGAAATGGGGAAATATGAGGCAGAAAAAAGCGAGGATAAGAGCAGCCTTTTTTCCGGCGGTTTCTGTCATTGCTCTCAAATCTGCTATGCCAGAGTGTCACTTCTTCCACAGTCGATTTGGGAGTGTATGCTCTGGGTTTTCTCCTGGCCAAGTAATCTCTGTTATCGATAAATTGTCTTCCACAGCCTTTGACATACACATAGTAGCCTCCGATTAGTGAAGCCTGAGTTTTAAAATGTGATATTCAAAAGGTTAGGATTTCTGGTTTGACTCATGCAGAATGTGCATTAGTTAAAATTCCTTCCACTTTACTGTCTTTCTCTATAAAGGTCTGAATCGAGCAACAACTTGGACCTTCTGTCTCAAAAACTGCAATCAATCCGGGACATTGATGAGCTCACGAAAATGGTGAATATTAAAAGAAAAAAAAATCTATAATAATGGTAACAGTGTGTCATGGGTGCGCTGAGCTGTTGCGTATGTTTGCTCTTAGCTCCGTGCAGCCAACGAGTATGAAGAGAGGAAGATGATCCGAGCAACCATCCGACAAATCCGAGAAGAACAGCAGCAAGGTGAGTCGGGAGGTGCCTGTCTGTTTGTTAAGTCCTCCACCGTGTGTTAAATAAAGTGCTGATTGTAGATGATGGATTTTGCAATAGTTTTATACAGAGACAGACACTTGTATCATTATGACAAATTGGAAGTGATGCATTTTTTTTCTCACCCTCTGAACCCCAAGTGGTTCCTAGCCATTTTTTTGTTCCTCTCACATTTTTACTCAACGTGGCCTCATCTTTCACTGTTATATAAAGTCCTGCACCTCTATGGAAAAAGAGCAACCATGACTAGAAGTGGAGAGACCTCAGATTCTCTTTCGTGCATTATGACACAGTTACAATGCCATAAATCTAAAAAATAAAGTTGAATGTATTTGATTATTTATTCAGCAACGGTTGAAAAAAAAACACTGGAGTCAACATGTACAAATGTCCCAGTGTGCACAGGTGTTACCAATACTGGAAAAAATGAAGGATTTACATATTATAGATATGTTACCAGTTAAATTATAAATGTTTCCATCCTTGTCTCCTATCTGCTCTGTGTAAACACAGCCCGCAGTTCAGCCCAGTTCAGCTGAAAAGTCTGTGAATTTCTGTCAGGTGACTGTTGGTCACAGCTCAGTCGCTGCACAGTTGTGCAAGCAAGTGTAGAATTTTTTGTTTTTCACAGGATCTGGTTTGTGCACACGGTTTACTTAACTTTGTATGATAAAGTGATTTTGATAAAATATCACAATTTCAAGCTTAGATTTGATTGATTTTCCAGACAGAGCCTGATGTGACACACGATTAGTTCAAGAGCCATCGGAACGTTGCAAGTCCATGGATTTGTTCTGTTATTGGTTTCTGTCTCTGATAAATGGGGTAATTTTGATGATTTTTGTTTTGTAGATGGCCTGCTTTCCAAACCCACTGGCAGCTTTTGGGGTTCAATAGATAAAACAGATAAAGTGCTAATTCTGGTGGCCGACTATAAAGATCAAAATGTCAGAAATCCAAAGGACATGGTCTCGTTAAATATCTGTGACCCCTTGCAACATACATACATTTGATGAGGAGACTAAGAACACAACACAACATGCAAAACAACATTATAGATCGGATTTGCCCACCAACACTCTCCTAACAAACCCTGATGAAACTCAGCAGGATGGTGTATTTCAGTATCAAGCACTGACACTGTTTGGCCTGATGAGGGCGCTGAAATTAAAGGTACAAAAATTCCAACTACCTGTTCCTTGTGGATTAAATCCGAAAGGAAAAGTACATTTATATTATCAGTGTGGTGGCGTGTGTGTGTCTGCTGCCATAGTTACTATGGCAGATCTACCTGTGATGCTGGGTCAGATACAGGATTCCTGTCATTCCTTAGCGCTGTCTGGTCTTTGTGAGGCCCCTGTCATACTGCAGCGCTCTGATGTACGTGCAGGACTCCAACAAAGAATGACCAACCTCCAGCTGAGGCCATGTCAGGACACCTCAGATAATCTCGTCCTCTGGCTCCTCGGCTTGTATCCCATCTGTGTTTGCTCTTCTAATTTCACACATGACCAGAAGGTGAACATCAGATGGGATAATGAGTCACCTTGTTCACTGTACATATTGTCTGAGTAATACTGTTGTGTGCGTGCTTTCAGGGACCGTGGATCTGGGTAAAACTTCGGGTCGCTGCCTGGAGCCTGAGAGCGTGGAGCCCCAGAGCAGCATGGGAACTGTGGTGAGTAGAGCAGAGTTAATGGAGCGATTAGTGTCGGTTGTGAGAACTGAAATGATTCTGAATGTCACGGCTTTCCCCTGACAAAGTCTGAGCATCACCAATACAGCCGATGGGTAAACTGTCCCTGATCCAATATGCGCTCATGTCAGCTCCCATTTAGAAAAATGAACCAAGCGCGGGCCAATTTGCGGGTGCTGAGTTTGTTTGCATGGCAACGGCGACCACTGAGGTTTGCTTGCTGCCGCAATGAAGAATGCAGCAAACAACAACAACAAGCATTGTGACTTGAGTCACACAGTGGGTCGTGAATGTGGCCGCACCACACACACACACACACACACACACGCACGCACAAAACACATGCCTCAGCTGCCACGGAGTTAGGAATGTGTTCTGCTTTTTAGATGCTCATTCAGTTTTGACCAAGTATGAGGAGACAAAATAAAAATTTACTTTGACTCTGGCTTCTAGTGACGGCAGTAAATTGATTCTGTCATTTCACACACATGTAACTGTGCAACTTTTCATGGTATCAGAAGAATGAAGCGTTTTAAAAATACTTTGTGTTGCATCAGTCTGAATCCTTCCTCAGAGATTCGGACGTCTCTCACAGTCGACCCGCCCTCTAGTGGCTCGGTGGCAGAGCCTTAAGATGTGGAGACGTGAGGCTCATTTGTTTGAGAGTGCTTTCTAGGGGCCAGATGTTATCTTATCTGCTGGTTTTGATCAGTTTTTTTGATGAATGCTCTGTTTCCAGACGATGGGATTTTTGTGGAAGAAAAACAAAGTTGTATGAAGTCACTGCTCTTAAGGCTAAGCCTTTGAGTGACAGAAGCACCTCCTCTATGTACGCTTTAAAGGAAAATACAATCAGTCACACTATCAGAGTTCTGCTGGTTCATTTGAAAGCACCCATTTTTCTCAACACGGCGATATAAAGGGGGAGAAATGAAAGCTGTTGGGTATCAGTCCCATTGTCTGTTGTGGCCTGTGCTCTGCTTGCGTGCATTCCTTTGTGTTTGTGTGTTTGTGTGTGTGTGTATTCTCCTCAGATAGGAAGCAATGATAGCATGTTGGCGTAACAGGATGCTCTCACATTCAAGCCTTTTTACCTCACTTCCTGGAGGACAGCTGAGCGGTACGGCGGCGGGGCTGTGAGTCACCGGTGGTGTGATGGATGATGGGGTGGAGGGGGGTATCGATGGTGAGGACCACGGTGAGGTGGTGAGTTTTGGAGAGGCAGCCCACCAGCTGTGACCCAGCAGTCTAGTCTGCGCTGGAATGGGGACGTGGCCAAAAACAACATCAACCAGCAGCAGCAGGGCTCCTTCCACTCACATCACAGCAGCGGATCTCTTTGAGCCGTTCGCAATTGTGCTGTGAAAGATGGTGGTCCGAGATAGGCCTCCGCAGCAGCCAGATGTATGCAGGCACACGCAATATGCAACACGTGACCGCTGGTAGCGGTTTGAAACAAAAACCAGGTCAAGAGCTCGCGTGACGAAAAGGAAAGTGCGTGTTTAATTAGCGGATTAATGCGGCTATTGATTCGTAGTTTTGATTCCAGTCTTATTTAGGAGTTAATGTTTGTAGTGGGAACGGCTGACATTCAGAGATCGGAGCTGAGGTACACTTAAAGTTTCCTTTCGCTCATTTGGAAGAAACTCCTGTTGTAACAGCTTGTAAAAAAACTTTAATTATACGTATGTAGCAGAAAAAAAATGTCACTCTAAAAATAGGGTCTTTGTTTATTATTGTAACATTAAAAAAACGAAGATATTAAATAATCCAATTCAAGTGCTTTTTATGGTAATATATCCCATTGTTTCGAGGAATATATGAGTATAAAAAGAGGTCAAAACAAAGGCAGAGTGTGTCTGAAGTTAATGTGTCAACCAGGCAACCCATTAACCTGTGAGGAAAGTGTGTGTGTTTGTGTGAATGTGGTGGGGGTCAGATCCCTCTGGAGACAGAACGGGAGGGAGGGGAAGTCAAGGGAGTGGCCTGTTGGTATTATATGTGTGTGTGTGTGTGTGTGTGTGTGAGTGTGTGTGGTGTTTGTGGTGGTGTAAATGTTTGTGTGTGAGTGTGTATGATGTGGCTGAGGGAGCAGAGCGGCAGAATAGCGGACGTCCTGACTCCAAGAGGGTTACTGCTCAGAGAGAGAGAGAGAGCGAGAGAAGGAGGGAGGCAGTGAGTCCAGGGAAGAGAAGGTAAATGTCATTTTCCTACTGTTGTGTGTCACAGACTAAACGCTCCTCTGACTTTTTAAAAATATTTTTTTTTTTTTAAATTGAAAAGTCTCTCCTCATCAGTCTGTGTTTGGAGAATGGGATGTGCCTGCCTCTGTGTTGACATTTCAGGTTTGTGTACTTAATGCTTTATTACTGAGTTAGATCACTTTTTTATTGACAGGTTATATAGTTACAGCTCGATGCGTGACATGAAATTCACTGGCAAATGTACAAGTAGTGCAATAAGTGTTTTATAGCAAGCTGAAAACAAAACATCAATATTTAATGCTTGTGGTTAAAATGTATTTATTGATTTATTCCTGCGAGGATTTGAATTGAGGTGCATTTTGAGAGCTCAGGTAGGCTGTCGGGAGACGGACTCCTGTTGTTTGTTCACCGGAGCTGCTCATCATAAACATGTTGCAAGAAGAGACCTGAGGAAAGAGCAGCTTAACTGTCTAAAACTGGCCCCGGCGTTTGCAATACACAGGGTTTAGTTGGACTTTTGAGAGGAATTGAGAAAGAGTGCTGGAGAAAGAAACGCACAATGGGACCGTTTTTTTTTTTTAAAAAGAAAGACCATAAACTAAGCTTAGATTGGCACGTGATGATTTGCAGTAAGTAAAAATGGTAGTGAGACTCCGGGCTGAAGACCTCTGTGGGTTTCCTCACTGCAGACTGAGTGTGTGTGATATGGAGATGATTGCTACTTCATTCCAGCTACTGTATTTCAGTTATTGGAGGTGAGCCGAGTGTGTGGTTCCTCAGGCTGCAGTAATGGAAAGTGAGCCGCCAGGTTTCTTCTTCTTCTTCTTCTTCTTCTTCCACGTGGAGGCATGGAAGACCCTCAAATGGTCTGACCTCACCAGCTATGTGATGGATTTAACGTTTGTGGAAAATTTGGAGAAGCGATTGTCTGAAGCTTGAAGGAGGTGTTTGCCTCATTCTCAGCTTCATTGTTGTGTTTTTTTTTTTTTGTTTTGTGGAGTTGAGGGTTCAGACGAGTCCAGATGGTCCACGCCTCGCTGTGGTCACGAGAGAGGACAGTTGTTTTTGTTGTTTAGAGATTTTGCAATTATAGTGTGACACAAGCGGGCCAGATGGGCTGAGTGGCGGTTCATGGGTGCGCTGGAGTGGGATGGTGTCGGTGTTGGTTCCACTCCATCAGGTCCTCACTGCTGGGACCAGAGGGAAGCCGCTAATGACAGCATGGTGGCTGGCAGCAGGTCCGACGCTCTGGTCTCCAATTCCACTATATCTCCCCTTTTTTTTTTTTTTTTTGCTCTGCCTCACTGTCTGTGAGAAATATGTTCCCTGTGGTTTAGTGGGAGCTTTGAAATGATGGCTGTCTGTCTGACTCCTGGTTGAAGCAGGAGGAGAGGGTAAGGAGGGGGGGAGCTGGTGAGGAAAGACTCTTTAATTGTGTTTATGGCTCAAACACAATTATCTCCCCCTGTGACTCTTTGACTGAGTGACTCCGCTCTGAAGTGGCCCTTGTGTGTGTCCTGTCGCCTTATTGCGCTGCGGTGTTGTTGTTGGCCACCGCTTGTGTTCTCCTCAAACTCATCAGACACTTTAATGACTCTTTAAAGGAGCGTTCCACTGAATTTTTTCCTTCCACTGTGGTGCGCGAGGCTGTATCAGCAACATTTCCTCTAGTCGTTAAAGGCTGAGAAGACATTTTTATGCCCCAGAATCTGTGCTGCTTTTTTTTTTTTTTTGCTCCATATGGAAAAAGTGGAAGCTGGAAAAAGTGACATCGGAGCACCTGTTATGTAGATTTAGCTCTTTATGATTTCACATTTACTCCCTTTTTGAAGTTTTTCATTCTTTTGCGATTGATCTCATCTGGTTGATTTTTTTAGCAACAAAACCTATTTTACAAAGCAAATTGTGAGTTCAATCTCGTGACTCTACCCCGTGTCATTCCGGATTCACCTTCCCTGTTTGTGCTGCCGTCTCCCTGCAGCAGTGTCTGATTACGTTTTCTCCTCAGTGATCGAGCCACCCTGCCCTGTAATCTGCTCAAGGTGGGGAAGGTCACAGCCAATAGAGCAGAAAGCCTCGAGTCCTTTCTCACCTCTGCAGGCTTTGTGATTTGCCACCACGTTTCCGTGCAACCTGTCTGTCTTCTCCGATCACACACTGCATTGATTAAAAGCCTTTTCCAACACAAAAGTGTCGTTTATAAAATTTCCACGCTGCTGCTCCTGCTGCTGACAGCTGTGTCAGTCTCTTGTCAAGGATAACATTGTTTACACATGGTGAACTGATTGTGGTGTATGATTGTGCGGTTGGGGGTGTGTGTGCTTTCTTTCCCTGCTTGAGGGATTGTGAATGTGTTTTCAGAAGCTTTTTGAAGTAATAGTAGGCTGTAAATCTGCTCTAACTATTACATTTTCAGTAAGGTCATGTCTTGTGTGTTTTTTTTAGGATCCACCCATTGTTTTGTTCAACTATTTTTAACCCAGATGGCTTTTGTCAAACACCTTTAAGGAGATTATGTGGTATGAGGCAGTTCATCATTTCAAATGAGCTCCAGAATGATGCACAACACCTGAAGCTCCACAGTTTTTGCCCTTTAATAGAAAAGTTTGCTCTTCAGACTGTTGTGGATTAGAATTATGTTGAGGAGTGATTTAAACACGGCGTGTGATTGTGTGCGCACATGCTCAGAGGAGTCTTATTTGTGCAGCTGATTCTCCTGTGGAGCAGTTCAAGGTCGGGCACCAGAGGCCCAACAGTAGTGTTGGCATCTACATCTTCCCCCTCTCCGTCCTTCCCTCCACACCTCTCCCATTTCCTCTCCATATGCCAAAATATTGCTGCCTCTCCCCCGAGATCTCCTTCTTTCTATGGCTTTGCTCCCTTGTTGCAGATTAGGACCCGAGTGCTGCAGAAAGTCCTGCATCTGACTGTGGTTAGGCTGCAGGTAGTCTGTAGGTGCAGGTGCTACCTATAAGCAGAGCCTATAACTCACTCCTGAATCACGTGCTGAATGTATATGTTGGCTCTTTTGGCCTCCAGGGCGCCTCTCTCTCTCTCTCTCTCTCTCTCTCTCTCTCTCTTTTCCTCAGACGTACACAATGGAAAATAAAATAGACCTTTACTTTTCCAGCTGGCCAAGTGTGTTGCTCATCATGGCTGGAGTATTTGACCTCGACCTCCGACAAAAGACTGTTGTGATCACCAGCTGACCTCAAACAGATGATTGAGCTGAAGTTTTCACTCTGGTTTTGATTTGAGGAAAGGGCTGGCAGTGTGGCAGCGGCAGGCTGAACACATTTGACGACCTGAGAAATTAAAAAGCACCGTGCTTTTGTGGCTGCATTGAAGTGCACTAAGCTATGATTCTTCTCTTTTTTTTCTACAGGAGACCGAGCGAGAGAGTCACAGTGAGCGTATCAGATCTCAGATCCAGGAGCTGCGCAGCCAGCAGACACAACAAAGCAGAGAGCGGCAGAGAATAGGTAAGAAACACTTTTTTTTTTTTTACCACCAAACTGAATACGACTTCTTTTCAGAATAGTGGCTGATTGCTTCAGTGTTGTAAAGGCTGCGTTTTTGTTGTTCATAATTGCAACAGCATACACACCCTTACACTTGCATCATATTTAATCCTGTCACACTTCTGGCATTTCTGAAATACAACAGCTTGTATATGCTGTAAACTCTCACCGAAAGGTCAAGTTGAGGTAAGCGCTAATAACCTGGAGCTAACACTGACCACCTCTGTTACATGTACCTGTGACTGCATACGTGCATTTTCCTTTTCAGTGCCTGTTGATGTAGTCGGCCAAAGGAGCCATTCTCCTGAGGTGGTGGTCAGAAGGTCATATTAGTTCGGGCTCTTTAAGCTCCTTCATCAGACTTTATTAACTGTTTGGAGTCACTTGCAGCCATAGGCTTAATGACTTCAGCTTCTTAAGTGTGAAGTAATTTTATTAACCGCTCTGTTAGTCCAACCATCAATAAAGACGTATGAATGCAGGCCTTCAGGAGGGAATGAATGCGCTTCGTTCACTTGAATCCTCAAAACTTAGCAGGAACACTTGCAGAGCTAACAATGAGTAGCCTGTAAAACTACAAACGTGCATCACTGACAAGTAATGAATATTGCTACAAAACTACTTTTAAAAAATCTAATAAAAACCTAAGAATGAAGTATTATATACTCTTCATACAGAGCACCAGCATTTAATTTTAATCGTCTGTGGTGGAAAGGTGTTTTCATCTTATTTTTAAACTCATATTTGTGTAACTGGAACTTGTCCTGAGGCTGACGGTCATTCTGTGTGGCCTGGTCTGCCCTGGGCTGGGCTCTCAGTGTCCTTCACATGGAGCGGGGGTTGATGGTGGGGTTATGGGAAGCAACAGAGGGAAACCCAACAACCACACCTCTGCTAAATAAAGCGGATACCAGAACAGAACTCAGGCTTTCTTGACGTGGCGAAGAAACTCCCTACTGTTCTGGATTATCACTGCCTTACAATTTAAGCCAGGGTGAAACAAGGATCAACCAAAAAAAAAGACCACCGTGGAAAAGCAAAGCGCTTTTAAAGTAGACCCGGGACTTTTGTGGACCGACAGGACAGTGTAGCCCAGCTGGGTCTGTGGTTCCTGAAGGGGTGGTTGTTTTTTCAGCAGAGTGAAAGTGGCAGAAAATAAGAGATTAACTTGGAGGATCCGTGCCTGCTGCTTTTTGGTCTTTGAACGTAGCACAAACACATGCCTCTACCTTTTAGACAAAAGAAGCTTATATTTATATACTTTACCTCAATGACCATGTGTCCAGCTGTACTGCAGTCAAATTGTAGCAGGTAAGGCTATGATTTAGGGAATGAAATGTTTTCAGAGGCTCTCAGTGGAATGTACTTTATGCCTCAAGTTCCCAAAAGAGAGAAACTTGCTCTTGTTGGAGCACCGCACGAACACTAATTACAATTTCACACAATAACCCAGGGAGTGCACTGAACACAGACATGTCCTGTGTGTTACTGTAAATATCAGGTCAGTCTTTGGTCTGCACCAAACAACTCAGTGATATAGTACAGAAGTGCTGTAATCCCAGCGTAAATTGTAGAAACAAATTGCTCAAGTGCTCTCATCTGATGTTGCTTCGGTGTTGTTTTTAGTCGTACTAGTGGCACCACTTTGTTTCCATGTTTCAGCAACATGTAGATGGAGTGAGATGAAGGTTTGTGCAGACATTCATTGTCTCCAGAAGATGGTTTCTGCTGACTTTAATGATCCTCTGACGTTTCTGCTGGTGCACCACAAGGTTTAAACTTATATTTAGCGAAATGTCTTAAATGTTCTGTTAATACATATGAGATAGATTGCTGAGAAATTTCGCTTAGGCATTCATGCTCCCCTCTGAATGAATTAGAACCTTTTTAATCTCATCCAAAATTATTATGTAGTTCATCACTAAAAAACACTGAAAATGATTCCCATCTTGTCAGCATTGTCACTTTGAGCGCACATTAGCATTACACTCAAGCATCACTTTCTGCAGCTCAGATACAGCTTCCAGGGATCACAAGCATTGCTGCAAATTCTAGTCTTTACAGCACAGTGCAGAAATTTTATTTATCTGGTAGCATTATGGGAAAGCAACGTCACAACTTCTATGAGATGACTTCATGACTAAGAGACTACGTTAAAAAAAGTCTATCCAACCTGTTGATCCAAAGCGGAGGTCTGATGAACCCATGTTACACTGTGATCCCGAGCAGCTGAGGCAAAACTGAAAAACTCGCATTGACCAGTTTGCAGCGAGGAAAAATATGAGCTGTCATCGGGCCTCTGCTTCACTGTAAAGCCTTTATATAAAACTCTCGGTTGTCCTTTGTTTGTGCTCTATATATTGACTGGCAGCGGACTGCAGCTTTTGTAGCTATTTTGAAGCAAAAAGCAAGCCTCTCATTATGCAGGAGCAGTGGGGGATTTTCCCAGAAATCGCCACACAATAGATACGACGGCTTCCCAATGGCAAAGTTGTGAACAATAATGTGAGAGTTTTCTGAAGAAGCAGAGTGTTTTGGCTCTCACTTCAGCTGCAGCTGACCAGTAATTGAATTTGAGTTGAGTGCATCATTAGACCGTTCAGTGTCACATGTGACAATTGCAGCAATTTATTGTCCTAATTGGGTATCATAATCATGTTTTCTATTTAGACCGAATTACATAATCATCTCCTCTGTTTAATCAACAACTTGTTGCTATTTTTGTCTTCTCACGTCCAAAGCAATTTGTAAACTTGCGGTTTTTATAAATTTACTGAGCCTGTTTTTTTTGCTGTGTGTTACGCAATAATGATTAAATAAAGATCAGCTGCTTTAAATGAGGCTGCCAATGTTCACCCTTGATCCCGTCTTCTTGAAAGTTGAAAGAAATGCTGCTGGCTGCCTCCGGTCAGACTGGAGTCCCTCTTTGATTTGGTTTGTAAATGACAGACATGCATACTTGGTGAACCCCATTTGGTTGTAAAGTTGGTGCAAACTAAGTTCATTCAGAAGTGTTTTCATGCCTCGCTTTGGACATAGTGATGTGGGAACTGGATACACTTTTGGTTTTCTCTGTTTTCCTTATCTGTGGTGCATACACAACCTCAGATATTTGATCGTATAGTAGCTCCGTGGGGTGTTGGAGGTAGAAACTATCTGACGGGGAGGATGTGGGCACCACAGTGTTGTTTGGAGTGTGGTTTCCTGAGGAGAGAAGGAGCAGTGAAGAACAGAGGGGAGGGGAAGTGTTTTCCCTAGTCTTTACTTCACCTCCACTTTCTCCCCGACTCCTTGTAGTTGGTAACCACCTGTGGTTGTGCCACATGCTCCCTTTCTCCACTTGAGCTCTCCTTCTTTTACTCACATCCACCATCACAATCTCACAAATCTGGCTCAGGAACTGAGGCCAGTCTGGAGGAAATGTCTACATCCCCTCATGTCTCCACATGCCTTCTCTGTGATCCTGACTGATATTTTCTAGCCAGGCCTCTCTTGGGCCCTCATTGCTGCGGAAGTATTTCATTTACATCATTTCAGTCTTTAACTTCACCGGCTACTGTTTCTTTATACAGAAACGCCCTCTTCAGTTTAGCTTTTTGCTGCTTTTCTTGAGACGATTCAAGTGACATGAAAATCTGTTTTCACAAAATCAGATAAGCCACGAGGTACACAAAGACATTTATTCTTCACCTTTCGTTTGTGTTTTCTGTGACAGGGTCCAACTCAGGCATGGTGTTGGTTCTTGATCAGCTGGTAAAGGACGATGGCTCCGGACCGCTGTTGATCCAGCCTCAGCGAGACGCTGTGCCCACAGAGCCTGACCTGGTTCTGTCTCAGCGTCAGAGGTCCGACTCCTCGGCTTCAGACGGCAGCGTGACCAGATCCAATATGGATTCTGTGAGCTCAGAGAAGAGTCTGGGCTCAGCCTTTAGAGCCCGGCTGGACTCTGGAGCCTCCGACAAGAGCCAGAGTTCCTCCCAGCGTGGTCGGCTAGACTCTGGTGCATCAGAGCGAAGCATCAGCTCCCAGTCTTACATGAGACAGAGACTGGGCTCAGATGTCTCTGATTCAGTCAGACCCCGTCTCGGCTCTGGGGCTTCAGACAGCATGTTGTCTAGGAAACGGACGGACTCTGCGACATCTGACCAGAGTGTGAGTATGTCCTCTGAGGAGAGGGGTCCAGCGGAGGAGGCGGAGGTAGCCACGAGTGGCTCAACTTACAGCACAGATTCAGAAAGCGAGAGCAGAAGCCAAGATCCAGTCAGCATCCAGGCTGAGTCTAACCAGGACCAGACGGCTGACCAGGAGCAGCCTGATGGGGCTGTTTTATCTCGGAGAGAACCTGCAAATGGGCTGCTCAATGGCAGCGCCAAGGGAAAAACTGAGTTCCAGAAACAAAAGGTGGAGTATATAACCCTTGTATCAGATGAATGTATGATGTGTGAGAAACACACAGACAGGTGACCAATTAAATGAAAACCTTAACAAATGATTGATGGCTTCCATACAAAGCAGGACGGGTCACTGATGGGATTGATTAACATGAAAATAACTATAATTTCACAGTCATCTCAGCCAGATGACACACCTTTAAAGTCTAGCTAAAACTAAGTTGCATATCTGCTCTGTGAATCACTTGACTTGTGTCATTAGAGACAAACATCTGCAAGCAAAGGACAGAAAATTTTTATTTTTGCAGAGACTTGTAGAGTCTTTGCTAAGGTATAGTATAGCTATTCTGGAGGCTTAACATGCACTTTACGTTGTTGTTTTCTTTTAATCTGTTACCCGTATGTGTCTCAGCACAGCCAGCAATCCACAGCAGTTATCATAACTGCACCACTAGGGTGTGGTGCTGAGCTGCACAGCCACTGACAAGCTCACAGTCCAAGTTCTTTGCTTTCTCTCTGTCTCGTTATCCATCACAAGAAACTCTTGACACTTCGTTCTTTAGTGACACACAGGTCTCATTGGCATCCATAAACACACCGAGTCGAGCTCCTGGTAGATGCTGTTTAGCTTTTGTTACTTGGTTACACAAACAAACTGTGTACCTGATGGTCTCTGCTTCACCTCAGCGCTGTGTCAGCCTCACCTGGCGTCAGTGAGGAATTAACAACTTTTAAAGGCCAGAGATTCTGTTTCTCTTCATTCAACGAACACACGGAGCTCCCATTTCTGCTCTAACTGTAAAACTGTTAAGCAAAAACGTTTCCCGTCATGGGACCTCGGGTCACCATGACGCCATCGAGTCGCACGGCTAAATGTGTTTACCTAAGGCTGGCCCCGGGCTTCTTTTATTGTTCCCTGCAATATACGCCGATGCGCCGTCTCCTGAGAGTAATGTAAACACTCTGGGGTCCATCGTGGCCCCGCTGCTAAAAAAAGAACAGAGGCCCACAGTTCACTCCAAACACAAATGTTATGTAATGAGAACACCACCATTCGATTCTTTATTAGGATTTCGTGTATGTATGTGTGTTTTGTCACCACAGCGATCCGTTTACACTGTAGCCCCTCGTGAATGTACATCGCTGCTGCTCTCATAAACATGGAGATGTTCAGTATAGCAGCTCTGTGGTTGTCAGTCCAGGCACATTATATGTTAACCCTTCATCTCCTCTGCTGCTTTTACTGATTGTTCTGTCATGTTTCTCTGTTGTTTTTGCTTTTTAGATAACTGTTAACAACGACCTGTCCCTCACTCATGGAAAAGCAAAGAATTCTGGTAAGGAGCTAGTCCAAGTCTCACAATTCTGTGCTGATTAATCAAAAGCAAAATAATCAACATCAGATGTTGCAATCTTTGAAGGAACAGTCCTCATTTCCCCTGTCTCAAATGTGAGGAATCGCTTCGCTTCTCTTTTAAATCATTGTTAATTGGGTCCTGAAAAAATAGTGATGGGCGTTAAGCCTTTTAGTCTGGAATAGCACAACAGATGGTTCACATTCTGCAGGACTTCTGTATGTGGAAATAATCAAAGCTACTGGAGTGCCATATCAGACCACTTCCAGGTTAGATGGCTAGGAAGAGAGCATGTTATAAATACAAGATGGGGCTCTTCTCTGTGTCCACAGCATTGCAAGTTGTGGGTTTCCTCGTAAGCAGCTGATTTTTTGCTGTTGTTAGGATGACGTCAGTGGATATCTTCTCCTCTAGTCACTAGCATTTTTCCATGAGATTTATCCACATCGTCTCACCTGACAGTATTAACCATCTGAGAATGTAAGAAAAAAAAAAGTCTAAAAAAAACTGCTACTAAAAGATGTCAACACAGTGGAGGTTAAGTCAAGCAAAAATTTAAAAAAAAAAAAAAACGGGGCTGGAGCAGAACCTAGAAAGAGGAGGAAGAGAGGAATGGGATTTGTAGGGAGCTTTAGAGGTGGAGGAGGAGATGACAAGAGCAAGAGGCTTTAACTGTGCTAAATTCATCCTGAATAGTGGAGGAGATCTGGGCTCTGTGTCTCTTCTGTGTTGAGTTATTCACTGTTTTTCTGCGACATCAACTCCCCTCCTGTGCTTTGCCCCGACAGCACCTGAAAAGAAAGATGTTGTATTGGAACAGTTCAGCCGCACCAACTCTGTCCGCGATCGAATGCGCAAGTTCACAGAACCCCAGAGCCCAAGTGTCCCGGCTTTGAAGAAAACCCCTCTGAGGAACGGCACCAGCGGCCCGTCAAATTTCTCCAGAGCTGCCGAGCTGTTTACACACACAGCAGCATCCCTCAGCACATCTGGAGACAGGCCAGGCAGGCCTCGTGTGGACTCCACATCCATCACCTCCGCTGCATCCCAGAGTCAGGCCACACCTCAGCCAAGAGGCGTGGCCAGCAAACCTCTGTCTTCAGCCAACCAATCGCAGAACTCCATGGGTGGGACGAGACATCCAGCTGAAAAAGATGTGCACGCCTCCAGTAACTCAAAGGAAGACAGGACCCCAGGGAGAGCAGCTGGAACAAAGGTCACCCAGGGAGAGGCAGACCCGGACATGAAGACTTTCCTCACCATTGAGATCAAGGATGGGCGCACCACCACCAGCTCGTCTACATCGGCCCCCAGAGGCAACATCGTACCCATCACCACCATGACCCCGCGCATCAGCACCAATGCTCTGGGGCAAAGACAAGGTAGGAGCATCTGCCAGACAGCAACAGGTTGTAGTGCAATAAATTCTCCCAGTCAACAGCCAGTTTAACATGGTGCAAGAGTGTTTTTAGTTACACTTACATTGATTTTTTAATAGGCTGTAGCCCACTGTCTTTCTGGTGGTCTCGATTTAGTGTGGCTTTCCTGCTAATACCAGCTTGTGGGTCACACTGGAATCACTGTGGGAAGTGACCAGAAACAAGCAATCGGTCACAAGTGGGATGATGACAAGGGTTTCTGTGAGGCTAAAGAAACAAAGCTCATGGATGTTAGGGCAGAATATTACATGGCATGGTGGCACTGAGAGGTATTTGTTATAGCGTGGGCATGTTGCACAGTGTGGAGGGGGGGGCAAGGTCACAAGTCAACAGCAAAGAGCCTATTCAGACAAAGAAAGCACCAACAGGCCAAACTCAATGGCAATACTGTCACAGTGCAGCCCACACAGTACAGTGCTTTGTTACATTGTGTAGATATTGTCTGCCCCCTCTTTATCTAAAACAACGCACACTTACTTGCATCATTCGTTCGAGTGTGCATTTGAATGAGAAAAATGTTTCTGGGAAAACGGCCAAGCGGCCACCCTGTCTGATAAGAGACGAAGAACTGCAGTTTGAGTCGCTGCAGCATCCTCGGTTTGAATGGGGACGGTTACCTTTGTGCCTTCTTTTGCGCACGTGTTTCCTGTCTATCGCTATTGTCGGATAACAAGAAACGGTGTCCATGTTTTCCTGGCTGAAAGCTTCCTTCCAACAACTTAGGACATGCTGTATTCAGTTGTAGGACACAGTTGGGACGTATTGTGTCAAAAGTGAGGAAACAATAACTGATATGAGATTTCAGTGAGCACCTGCAGTTTGCATGAAACAATGAAGTAGTATTTTTAGGTGTGTAGTTTTTTTGGGGGTAAACAGTCTAACAGAAAAGTTCATGGACTCTAGGCCACCAGCACCTCTTGTGATGATAGCTTTTATTGGGGGGAAAAAATGCCCAGGAGATGCCCACCACTTTTTTTTTTTTTTTAGGTAGTGAACTTAGTGGATTTAAAAAAGATATATAAAGATGTCACTGTGCTGCAGGTGAAATGTTGTGCTCACCTGTATTATTGTCCTGTTAGCTGTATTAGGCCACAAGTATTTCATTATTTAAATTACTGAATCTCATTTGCAATACTAAAATAGGTAGCATACCTGCATTAAGTGTTCATACTTTGCACTCAAGCATGTTCCTGTCAACTCATGCACATACTCAGTGCTGTGTATAGTCATAGTACAAACAGTACCAGCAGAGAGTCACTAAATGCATGAAACAAAAACACCTTTAACATCAAACAATCTGTTTCAGAGGCAAGACCGCTACAGCTGCTGCTACAGTCTGTCCAAACAAGATGTCTTAAGTTTCAGCTCTTCTCAGCAACCGGGATCCACAACCCAAACAGTTTATTTAAAACTCCAACTGGACCTGCGCGTTTCCAGCTTCTTCACCTCTTAGAGCGACTCCCGGGCCCCCCCCTCCCTCCCAGGACACATTCTGGGAGCTTTACTGGGCTCCATCATGAGGGTCACATGGCGTCTTTTCGGCTCAATTTGCTTTAATAGTTTTGGGCTCCTTTTTTGGGAACCTCACTCTGAGTAAAGACAGCCTGCGATTGTGTCTCCGGTTTCCCTCAAAAGCACTACAAAGGCTATTAAATGTACGCTGGTGTGCATCAATCCTGCGTTTTTATGATATAGCTTTTGAGTGTGTGTGTGTGTGTGTGTGCTCTCAGAGGCCAATGAAAAAAAGCTGTTTATGTTAAAGGTGGCGTCATCTACATTTGCTCACTTGTCATTAGACAGGAGTCTGTGTTGTTTAGGACTCCGTGGCAGCTTATGTAACTGATTTATGGCCGACACCATCACAGTGCAAGACCATGCACACATCTCAATTGTGCACATATTTATAGGCAACGGCAACTCTCTCAGCCTTTGGGGACTCTTTATTATTGATCCCAATTTAGTGTCTTAGAAGAAATATTTTATGTTTCCAATCCAAGTAAACGTTTGTGTTTTCTGTGTGTGTTTCAGAGTTGACCCTCGGTCTAAGAGCAACGCCCTTCAAGCTCTCCTCATCCAGTATCACCTCTGGACCCTCCATCAAGGTACAGTCTGCATTACAATTTGGGAACGTCTCGAGGCAGAAACTTGACAGAATTTATCAAACACACAGAACAAATCGGTTTCTAGACGTTCCCAATTTAAGATTAGTGCTTTGTTTTTATCTTGTATTTCATCTACCACTGACTTAATTGAATTCCTTTGGGGTTTTTTTGCTGCGTCCTTGTCACAGCACCTATAAAGGCCTGAAAAGCAAGCGAGCCAGGAGAGTGAAGGACAGACAGAGTGTGAGAAAAGGAGGGAGAGAAGGGAAGAGCAGTGTTTATCAAACACAGAGCGGGTAGCCAGTCACATCTGTCCTTGTAGGGTATGTGAAGGAGAGGGAGAGCGAGGGAGGTGTTCTGGGCATTCCTGGATTTCTCTCTGCAGGCCGTTGCCCACTGAGATTTATCTGGGAAATGTTTCCTAAATCACACCTGTCTGTCTTCGTCCGCACCATTTACTGTCCAGCTGCTTTAAAACACATGCTGACACAAGTCCTTCATCACTTGGTCTTTTCTTGGGGCGGGCAAAAACTTGAAGATGCACCTCTTTGCGCACTCTGACAGGCTGAAAGTAGTCATTTGACTGCTGTCATAATGAGCTAAGAGCGCAATCAGATCCCCTCCCACCTCTTAATGACCTCTGAGGTTTGAAGAAGAGCAACTAAACTCCCATTTGCCTCTTCCTTAAACTCTTCACTCCTCCATGAAAGGAAGTGAATGGAGAGTTGGGGGATTTAGAAGAAGAGGAGACAAGACGTGATGTCCTGTTTGCTTTTCAGTGGCTGTGTATTCCCCCTCTGATGTAATCTGGTTATGGGCTCAGGGAGCTGGGTAATTAGGGCTGGGAGGAGGCTGCAGGGTGGATTTAAGGTGTTGGAATTAGGCTGTCTCCATCATTTGGGGTCCTTGTTGAGACGCACAAGCATAAGGACAGTTATAAAGAAAAAAAAAAGATCCTATAAAAAGCAGATTTTGCAGGAAGAAGGTAGCGATTCTGCAGGAGATGAGGTTTATTTTTGACTGATCCCACTATCACAGCATGCAGGTAATGTCTTTGTGTGTGCAGGATTGTGTCCAAGCATGTTTTTTTTTAAAATGATGATAAAAAATATATGCCGTTAAAGAAACTGCATAACAAAATCTGCACTCTTCACTTGGTATGACAGGGATGTTTCATTGTTTACCACAGCAACCACCGCCATGGATTATAGCTTGCTTCGTGCATCAGTCATCAATCTTCAGCGCTAACTCTGTTTCATAATTGTGGGTTTAACAATAGGCCTTAACACCGGCTGCAGCATCTAACACAGCGGGCGTGACTGCATGCAGCGCTGCTAGACTGTGGGTCACATCCACGGTCAAACAAACAACTGCATCATAATCGTCTGGGCTCAACATGAATTCCTTCTCTGATAAACCACACGACTGCGACATTAAGTCTGTCTCTCCTTTCATCACTCGCATAAGCTGCTATTTCAGCTGCTTCTGCCAGATTCGCTCAAGTTTTACCATACAAAGACTGATCCTGAGTGACTCGGCTAATGAGATTGGAGAAACCGCAGCAGACACTGTTGGTTAGCATCAACCCGATCGCATTCAGACGGATCCAGAGCCCACCTGTTGTCTGACTTTTCCCGGTTCGTGTGTGAGGAAGATGGTGATATGTCAGAGGAGGATCATCTTAAAGCAGCCCCTCCTTTTCACATTAGTGAGGAAGAGTGTGCAGATACCAAGGCAGCACGCAGCGTAACATGAGTCTGAAAAAGCTTTTCCTGTTTAGTGTTGTTGGTTGTAGTTAATTGACCACAGTGGTTCCCGTCTGAAACTCTGATCTGTCTGGGTGGTCTGGGCTTCTCTTTGGTGGTCTAACTTCAACACTCACAAACTCCGCTATTCCCTTACTTGTGTTTTTTTCCCCCAATAAAACAGTTTTTTGCTGATAACGTAGGCTTTTGCAGCGGGATCACCTCAAAATTAGAATCTTCAACTAGAGAAAGGTTTAGATGATCGAAGCCACAGAAACAATGAGGTGGATTCTTATTATTTATAATGAATGCAAGAGTGAGATTCAGTTAATGGCGAGTTCAAAATGCTTGTCGTGTTTCAGCGCGGTGATGAAAGTTCACTTCAGGCAGGTGAGACCGACGGCTTATTATTGATGCCTCCTGCTCCAAGAGATCACAGCTGCTCCCGCTCATCTGAGCAGTCCGTCCGCTGCACTCGGCCTTGAACACAAATATAAATAATGCTTTAGATTTATAATAAAAGTGATGACAGGACAAGTCAGTCTTTCCTGAAGTCACAGAGATTACTGCCAAGTTCTGGGTCACGCCGGTTAAGTGCTGCTGCATGAACATGGACACCCAGGAGCACAGACAGTGACAGATTGTCTCACTGTCACACAAAAGGGGATAAAGACCCCGTTGTTAACATGCTGTTGATCCATGACACATGCTGATTACATAACCAGTTCACATGTGTCACAGGTTTAGGCCTGGTCTGCAGATCAGGGTGCAAACCTGGGAGAAAAAAGTTTTGAGAAAAAAAATAATGTCTGGATGAACTGGTTCTGATTGCTTTTTGTCCAGAATGAGACCTCTGCGTTGTTTTATGTTCGAACTCTGCAGGATGTTACACGACACTATTTTTGGAAACTCTTGTAAATGCCAGCAGAGGGCTCACAACAGCCACACACATTGTCACATGTAAGAGTGACAGCTTCATCATTCATTATAATCAAAAATACAGCATGCTTGCAGAAAACTGAAGAGTATAGACTTTCTAGTGTGATTGTTTGTTGTCCTCCTCGTCTTTCTACTTCACTTGCTTTACATTATTGTGGGTACAGGGCTTGACCCACTTTCCCTGCTGACCGTTGACATTTCTCTCAACTCTCCTTTGTGGTCAGATTTTTCCTGGAAGCTGTTCTGTTTGCCTGTTTTGATTGATGCACTTAGTGAGTTTAAAATTAATAAAGATATTGTTAATACAGTCACAGTACTTCATGTATAAGATACAGATAGTTACAGTGAAGTTTTCTGTGTTGTTTTGCATTGTTGGTGCTTGTGATTCATTGGCATGTCATGAAGAATTACAGGTTCATTATATGTGGTCATGTGTTGCCTTGTGCTTCTATTCAGGCTACATTCAGAGGTACAGCATGTACAGTGGCACCTGATTTCTCTGCAGTAGGCGTTTAAATGATTTACATAAGCATCTAACGGTATGAAGTACAGCACAGACTTCTGTCAACGCCCTTCGAGAACCCTTAATTTAACACAAAGCGCTTGAGGCATCCACATGAGCAGCTGCTGATTTGTCAGTAAGCCTAAAACAAAATCTTGAAAGGGTTGTGATGTCCTTCCCAACATCCTTGCCCAGAGCAGTGGAGAACTGGGTCCCGGGTCATCCTCACTGGTTTTCCAGCACGTTCTGTCATGGACCTAAACACTTTGTCCTTCATGGGCTGATCTTCCCGCTGGAGGTCTGCCTTGAATCACAGTCATGCAAAACAAGCGGTCTGATTAGTCAGGACATTTTGTTAGAAAGCAGTTTTAAGAGGAGTGAAACACTACTGTGTAACTCTTTCAGCACAGCCCAGGCCCAGAGCCACATCTAAACCCTTGTTGCCTGCCAATCGAGGTGTGAAGGACGTGAGCTAAATAAAAGGAAAGTTGGAGTGGGAGGGGTGAGTTTTCTAAATTGTTGTCACAAACATTCCCCCTCTCTCGCCGCCACCAGGGCCCCAGGACAGAGTGGCTCAGTGGAATAATGGCGGGGTAGGAGATAAATATACATGCTCAGGGCACCTGGAAATAAGTGGGTGGGGGCTGCCTGGGAAACAGGATTCCCTGCATGCTCATTGGCTGTCAGGTTGGTGGCCTGTAAACAGGGAAGATTTGCTGGGGGTATAAAGAACATGCGTTGGTTTGGACGGTCTCTGACAGAGGATAGCTTCTACAGAGTCACAGGCCACAGCCTTTTGATACCTCTGATCCTCAGTCAAAACTTTTTGGGACACTTTACTACTGACAAGCCTAAAGGACGTTGGTTCAGTTTAGTCTGAGTGAAGTTTGCGTGGCCATGCCTGGAGTGAACCTGGACTTCCTCCCAGCCTCACAGGCTCCAGAGGCTTTGGACAGCCCAGACAGTGCTTGTGCCGAGTCCGGCCTGGAGGAGGTTTTCGGTGATTTGCTCGCCCAGGAGGAAGCTGAAGATGAGGAGGAACAATTTGGAGAGAGACAGTTTGAGTTAACCTTGCGGTGTGCAGTGGGAGAGATCCACAGTGACTTGCAGGCCTTTGGGAAGCGAGTGGATGCTCGTCTGGAGGATGCGGCAGCTCAGGTGTCTCCTCTGGCCGAGGCCCTTGCCAGGCTGCAGGAGGAGAACCTGAGGCTGAGAATTCAGCAAGAAAAGATGGTGAGGCAAGTGGAGGCACTGTTTCAGGCAATGGGGCTGCCTGATCCCTTACTACATGAACTTGACAGCAAGGAAAACACCTGTTTAATTCCATGTGAAGCCGAAGCTTCATCTGGTGAAACTTCACCCTGCACACACCAGGAGATTGCAGATGAAGCCCCACATGATGATTCGTCTTCCACTCCTCAAGATTCTCCCTCCAGTGAGGCCGAGGACACACCAGCTAGCACTCCTCAAACAAGTACACCCCAAGAACCTACGTCATGCCCCCAGGACTCACTCTCTGGATCTTCTGCCACAAACCCACCTCAGAAGTTGGAGCCGACGCCGGTCCCTCACCCACCGACCTTTGCAACCCTTCGCTCCCTCTCTGCTCCCTCCCTGATGGCAAACGTTGCTCCCAACAACAGCACGGTACTGCTCTCTGTTAACGGTTCTGATCATGACCCCTATTAATTCAGATAATCCCGGGAACATCTTTTGTTCCAGTGTTGATAATACCTGTGGATCAGCTGGCCATGAGTTTCATGTGCCATGCCGCTGATACTGTGTCCTGCTCATGTCCTCGTTGACCTGCGGCTCACCTCTCTGTTAAGCTTTCCGTCAGTTGTAATCTCACATTGTGTTGTCACTTTAACTGAAAAAGGCCTGTCCATCTCAGCTGTCAGTCAGTTTTGACAGATTGTGTTTATGTGGTGGACTTCACGGCAATCTGTCGTGGTGGTATTCCAATCCTGTCACACCATGTGTCTCCAACTGTGTCCTAGCTCACAATCATGCTTGTGTGTGTCTGCTTGAAAGTGTTATGTTGAGTTGATGCACTTCCTGTTAGAGGGAAAAAATGATTTTAACAGCAACAGTGACCGTGTAATTTTTCATCTTCACATCATCCATAATCCTCACTTTGGCAGGGGCATAAACTGTCAGTTTAATGTTTGTCTTTTTATTTTATTTTTTTGGGGGGGATATTTATCTTTTGATTTCAAAAGTTGCAGCAACAATAGACATGAAATGGGCGGCAAGAGAGCAGGGGAATGGCACGTAGAAAAGGTCAGGCCAGAGCAGGAGATATACCATGTTTGAACAGGTTTAACTTGAGACTGAAGGCTGTACATTCCTGTTATATAATCAATGAAGTTTCATGTCTGACAGGAGAACCATTTGGCTCTCATCTCTTGGCCCGTTTGCTTTATGTACTCTTGAAATCCTACAACAAACCCGGTCTGTGCACTGGTGACATTCTGAGGGGATATTGAGTATTAGGCATCATCTGCAGTTATTCAACCATCCGGAGTTCATATTCCTCTCTAATCCTGCAAAGACAGCTGGGTCCGCCAATCAACTACTTCAATCAAGGTGGCTGACTTCCTCTTAAGTGTTGATCCTTTTGGCAGACGGATGTGATAATGAGAGGTCACCTTATCTGAACGTGTTTCCTTTTGTCTTTGTCAGTACATGACTTTTCTCCCATGTTGGCTATTCATGATTCCGCTGGTGGAGACAGTGAATCAAACAGTTTTCTATCACGGAAATAGTAAACAGAAAGTGCTTTTTCCTGCCACAGTGACTCAGATGCTTCAGGATACGCTAAAGCTCCGTTAAATATGACTCAGGCTCTGAGGTTATCTGGGAGTTTCTCACCCTCCGTCACTGCCTTGTTGTGTCCCAAAACATTCTTTATCGGTCAAGTGTGTCTCAGTCCAGCCCGTCCCATGGGTCAAAACTCTGCGTCCAGAAAAGTCTACAACCCAGGGGCCACCTTTGATCACGCTGCCCCCTGGCTGTGCTGGGCATTGTCCCTCCCTGGTGAGACCTGGTCTGTCCGGGGCCTTCAGGGAGGAGGGCTGGGCAGCTGTGGACAGAGATGGGGCCAACTGTCTGAGCTATATCTGGATCTTACAACAAAAGCACTGAAGCCGCAGATAGAGCGCGTAGTCGCCCACAGGCATTCAGCACCATATGAAATTAACTCGCAGTTTGTCAGCCAGGTTTACTCAACAACCTATAATGTTGTGTTCGCTCTCGTGGTGCTCTGTTTTTTCTTCAGCATGCTCGTTCACTCACAATCCTCCTGTGGTGTACATACCAGAGAGGACGGCTTTGGGTGTTTTGTTTTTTTTTTTTTCTTCTCAGATTTATGTCTCTTAATGCATTGTCCCCATCATACGGTGATAGTGGTGTACCATGCCTGTCACATAAACTCTCAGCTGGCAGCCGCTTGGTATCATTAAGACACTCCATATGTCAGTCACACTCCATGAACTAAGCGAACAGTAACTTGGCAGGGTGTCTCCTGCTCTCATGTGCTTACTGTCACTCTCTCTGGCAGCGCTGGAAAATAGAGGGGATGGAAGAAGTTATGAGATAGTGTGAGTGGGCAGTCTTGGTACAAAAAAGAGATTATTAGAGGGCGGGTAACTTCACACTCAGGCCTATTATGGCTGCAGTGTGTTTGACCAAAATCCTCCAGTGCTTATTGCGTCCTGAATGTCAGCCAGCCTGAAATATGTTTTTTAAACCCTCATTCTTGTTCAGTAAGTACACAGCTTAGAGCCTGAGCTCCGGTTAGCTCTCCAGCTGCGATGCACATATCCAACTAAGGTTTTCTTTCTAAAATGAATCTTTGCAATCTGAGGTGAATACCTGTATACTCCGTCCTCCTGTACGTCTGTGTGCTCATGCTGTGTTCGTCATGTGTCTTGTGCAGATGGAGACGGAGCCCGTCGTTGCCTCCGAGCCAGTGTTTTCAGCGGGATCGTCGGTCCAGGTGGCGTGTCACGTCCCAGCCATCCCCAATGGCTCCAGCACTCAGGCCAAAGTCGTCGACTGCTCCGGAAAACTGACCGCCGAGCAGCTGGCTGCGATCGAGGACGAAGAGCTCCTTGACAAAATGGTACTTCACACCCAAGTTATAATGGATGATTTAAATTTAAAAGCACCACTTTGAGTTGAATACAGCAACTTCAGCCATGCAGAGGGATTGTTTATCAACACGAAATCTTTCCAGCTATGCGAGCGTGCATTTGGAAAAACTTGGAGCTCTGCGTTGTGTCTGCAGAATAGCTAATGTTAGAAGTGTATGCATAAATAGCGCCATACCATTTTGGCTTTTCTCCAAGGAGTGACCTCTCATTGTTTCCGTTTCACAGCTCGATGAGTCCAAAGACTTTGAGGAGAGAAAGATGATCCGTGCAGCCATGAGAGACCTTCGCAAGAAAAAGAGAGGTAACAGCATACAGAAAAAAAAAACTGTCTTTTATCTGTTACACAAGAAAGTTTTTGCTCCATACATTTTCACATGATTACTACTTTCTTTCAAATCATCAAAGGTAGATGTTGCCTCTTTAAAATCAAGCCTAACTTTATTTCACTCTTTTCAGTATTTTTTTTTCTGTCTTTTCTATACTCATTTTAAACAAACTTGCAATTTCCACATAATTCCTATCCATTCTGCCCTCAGAGGCCATGCTGGGATGTACTCAAGAGGAAATAGGTAGGACAGGTGGTGTGCAGTGTGCATTAATAATTGATACTTGCCTGCGTTTGTTTCTCTGTGTGCACCATCCTGTCATTGTCGGACCACTGCAACTTTGAATCTCGGATGTGGTGGATGATGAAGGATATGTTGACAGTTTTTGTTCTGTGCATGAATTCTGTGTTTTTTTTAAAATGTGGAGTGTTGAACATGGTCACTGGAACCTCTGCTACATTTAGTGTACTATCTGTTTTTTAGCGGGCACTCACTGTGTGGTTTCATTAGACACTTGGTTGCTTTGAGCTGCTGACAGCTGAACCATTTAATTGGATTCTAATATCTTAGTCTAAACTGAAAAAACACATCAGTAAAAGTTCAGTGCAGTCAGTGCCATCGAGCAGGTTTAAGACTGTCCTGAGTGCTCTAAAGCTAAGGAAAATATCACATAGAACTAACAGTTTAGAAATAAGTGTCTCAGATTTACTCTGCACAGTATGTTTAAACACATGCTCCCATTCAGGTAAAATATGGAGGTAACAGTGCAGGTATCAGCATTTTGGGCATTGCTGGGTTTAGTTCAGGCTTCCACAGAGGACGATCAGGGTGCGTTTTCTCTTTTTGATGAATGATGTTTGTGCAGGACACGTAATCTGACAGCTTTGGCTTGGCTGTGAGCCTCCCACCTGCGTGTGTTTGTGTGTTCGGAGGAATTTTACGGTACCGTGGAAAGAATCCTGAAATGTATCGCCTCAAATCTGGAAGCCCTGTTTTAATCCATCTTTGTGGCAGTCAGATGAGCTGCTGTCAGCTTGTTTAGGACCTCTTATCCTCCTCCTTTTTTTCCACTGACATCATCTCTCTACCTTCCCCACCTCCTCCCCTCCCCTCTCCTCCACCCCAGACCAGAGAGAAAAGGAGCGCGAGACCCGTCTGCAGGAGCTCCGGCAGCAGAGAGAAGAGCGAACGCAGAAAGGTCGTGCTGGGGCCGGAGCCGGAGAGGTGGTGATGAGGAAGGTGGAGAAGTCGGCAGATGGCTCGACCCTCAGCCAAGTCACCAAGACAGACCGCTTCGCCCAGTCTGGTAGTTCCTTTCTTTTCCTTTGCCTTTCTTAGCCTTCTTTAAACTTTTCTTAAGCCTGTATTTAACCACTCAAGTCACCACAGAACAAATTTTTAGCAACGATACCGAAACACAAGACATTTTGGGGGTAAAAATTGGAAAGTAGGGCAAGAAAACACAATGAGTAATAAAAAGTAAACCCTAAAATGGATGAGAAGACTTGAAATTGACTCTGTCCAGTATTGTATAATTAATTTTAAGTGTGCTTGTGTGTGTTCAGATGATGGGAGCAGATCAACACGCAGCACTGTTGTCGAGGCCAGTTATGTGACGAAAACAGACAGTGAGTCAATATTTTGCTCTCTGGATTTCAGTTTTAATCTTTACAGTTTTATCCACAGCTTCAATTGCATGTGTTTGTTTATCATTTCAGGGGGCACAGTTCAGTCAAAATCATACAGCTACACCTCCTCCTCCTCCTCAAACACAAGCAAAAAAGTGGGCAGGTGGGTCGTGAGGCATCCACACAGTAACATTGCACTAAACTTTTAAATCCCTGCACTTTGACTTTAATTAAATTGCTGTAAATGTCACTGCTTCAGCGTGTTTGATCGCGAGGATGACACCTCGTCTCGGAGTGGCAGCAGTGGGTTGGCCGCTGTGGAGCGACGGCAGGCGGAGAGGCGTAAGGAGCTGATGAGGGCTCAGACGCTGCCAAAGACCTCTGCCATGCAGGCTCGCAAGGCCATGATAGAGAAGCTGGAGAAGGAAGGAGGCGGGTAAGGATAAACACTGAGGTAGTACGACCAAAGAAAGGAAAGGAGCACGTCAAAGCATGTAAATATTAACACAAAACTCACTTTTCTTTTAGCCCTGGAAATCAGGCAGTGGCTAAGGTAAACAAGGTTCAGCGCTCCACCAGCTTTGGTGTACCCAATGCAAACTCCATCAAGCAGATGCTGCTCGACTGGTGTCGCGCCAAGACCCGCTCATATGAGGTGAGCCAACTGGCCACAGCAGCCCTCCGTGTTTAGTGCTCACCTCTAATGTCAGCCAATAAGGCCGTCGCTGAACCTGAGCTGAGATATTCTGGGCTGACTTTGGGAGATTTTCCGTCGTTGATCTATCACTGCCTCTGTGTCTGCTCTGTTTGTCTTTTCTCTCAGCATGTGGACATTCAGAATTTTTCATCCAGCTGGAGCAACGGCATGGCATTTTGTGCCCTGGTGCACAATTTCTTCCCCGATGCCTTTGACTATGACTCGCTGAGCCCCAGCAACCGCAGGCAAAACTTTGAGGTGGCCTTCAGCGCTGCAGAGTGAGTAAACACAGAGGACGTGTTTGTCCTAACATGTGCACTAATCAGTCGGAGAAACCACATCAGCTGCGGTGAAACTTTGTTTTGGTGAGCCCGGCAGAGAACATGTGGAGAAACTTGTGGAAGATGCAACTGCTGCCTTGACTGTCCTCTGTGGTTTAAAGACATGTAGTCTGGGGGTGAAGACACAAAGCAAATCAAACAGTCCAAGTCGGGTTTATGCGCTGCCCTAGACCAAACAAACACATTTCCCGTTCTTTGCGTTGTACAGATTTTTCCATCCTTCTCTCGTTTCTCTGTAAGAGCAGTTCTATTCAGTGCCAGCGTCTGCTTGAGTCGGACCAGTATGTGGAAGCTCCTCGACTGATGCCCCATGGTTAACTTTCCCTGTCTCTCCCAGGTGTATCGAGCCCCCTCAAGGCTGAGTGAGCCCGTTACTACTCAAATAACTTCGCCTCTAAACCTCCGCTCTCCGTCTGTCCTCTACTCTGTGACGTCCTCCGTCCGCCCTAAACCAGAGACCCCTGAGCAAACCCTTCCCAAAAAACCAACAGGTTAAAAAATGGACGAGCTCTCGGATATTTTCTCTCTTTTTATATTTGCTCCGAATACCTCTCTTTTCTTCTTCCCTTTCTCATCTCTCTTGCATCACACCACTTGTGACGCCCCACCCACCCACCTGTGTGTTCACATGCTCCTCGTAGGATAATGACCGTACTCATGTTTCTAGCAGTGATTTATGCTCTCAGCACTGGACTGTCACCCAACCACAACCCCCTCGTCTTTCCACCTTTGTGTTGCACTTATCACTCACTTCCCCCAGAACCCTCCCAAGAGTTTGCTGTTATCTGGAGCACACACTCAGACACACACCATCCTGTGCACCAGTGTGTTTTTTTGTTAGAGTCACTATGTGGTTGTAGCTTTGTGTTTTTCTTATTAAGCAGAAGTTCTTGTTGTTTTTTTCGTCGTGTCTTGTTCGTACACTATTGAATAATTATACAGTCAAGAATTCCTCGTCTTAGCGCACAGAAAAAAACAACAACAAACAAAAAGGCCGAATGAGCATCACCTGACGCTCATTTGACATTTTGTTTTGTCTTATCTATGTATGTATGTTTGCCACAGACTTTATGTACTGTGATGTTCATGAAGCATGTCAACTCATGGATATATTTGTGAACACAGAGAATGTAATGTTATTGTTTCTTTTTGTGTTCTTTCTCTCTCCTGCTGTTTTTTTTTTTCTTTCACCCTGAATCTTTTTCACTGGCTGCTCACCGCTTTATCTGTGTTTTTCTCTTTCTTTCTTTCCCACACTTTGTCCACTATCTCTGTCATGTTCCTTCTGTCTCTCTTTTTTTTTTATCTGTCCTTCATTCTTGGTCTTTCCTGTCCTCTTCTCTCTCTCTGTTTGGGTCTTCCCTTCCTTCCTCTCCCCCCTCGGCCGGGCGTGGGTGCAGGAAACTAGTGGACTGTCCCCAGCTGTTGGATGTGGACGACATGGTGAAGATGCGCGAGCCGGATTGGAAGTGCGTGTACACGTACCTGCAGGAGTTCTACAGGGGTCTGGTGACGAAGGGCCTGGTTAAAACCAAAAATTCCTCCTAGAGTCACACCCCCCACCCAAAACTGAACCTATGGTGAGAGAGGAAACAAGCACACGGGGGAACCTCACTTTGGTTCTGACAGACTTATTGGGATGGAGAGAGTGTGTTTTAACTGCATGTTCCTACCAGCTGATTGGGTTTATGTCATTCTCGCGGGATCAGAAAACTCCTTTACGGGCTGCTTTTTTGGATATTTGAACCTTCATGTTAATCTGAAGCTCCTGAGGTCCAAAGTACCAAACATGGTATGTGAGTGTGTGTGTGTCCATGTGTGCATTTCTGCATAGCCAGACTATGGCTCAGGCAGAGAGCCAGGACCATCTGCAGCTCAACACTTTAAAAGGAACTGCTGCATCACAGTGTTTCAAACAGAAGAGTTAAGAAACAAAGCAGAGGTCGGAAAGGCTCTGCTGTCCGCTGACTTTTTATAAAGTGGAAGCTTACAGGTGTTTATGCACTTGGCTTTGAAATCTTTTTGGCGGTATAGTAACATTAAAATGCAGAATGACTGTTGTTTACAGTACTCTAAATCACAAAGGCATCTTATGATATTGACCTTTATTTTCTTATGTAAGAGATTTATCGTCGTTCTGTTTCTGGTACTCTTTGGAGGACACCTCAGAGGGTTCACAGTGTGTGGAGATAACGCCACCCTGTGGTCGCTCTCTGCATGGCTCACATGTGAGGTCTTTGTTCCTACAAAGTGTTTATTTAAACGCAGCGCAATAGTGAAGTTTATTTATATAGGGCTTTTAAAGAGTTTTCCATAGAGTGGTTCACAGAAAAGAAGAGATAAAAGAAGATTTAGAAAAGTATGAGTCGAGCACAGCCGCACCAAAGAAGGGCCGACGTGTACGTGCTTTAAACTAGCTTTGTTAACTGTTGCTTAACCAGTTCGCTTCGTGATCTTGAGAAAGCTCCTGTATGAATAATCATGACCGAACACGATGGTTCAGAAATCTGAGAGTATCCTGCTTAGTCAGCCTGTGGTTTTTCTCCTCTCCTGTCTGATCTCGTCCTCCTCTTTTACTCATGCACTTTGTCCCGTATGCCTCTTCCTCAGGACCCACGCCAACTGCATGCCTTTGCTGGAAGTGGAGGACATGATGATCATGGGTAATAAACCCGACTCCAAATGCGTCTTCACCTACGTACAGTCTCTGGTCAACCACCTGCGCAGATACGAGATGTCCATGGGTCGACCCTGTGACCTCTGACCTGTGTTCGGTGTGCGTTCAGGCTCCACGTGGCGTCAGTTCTCCTCTTTTCACAAGCTGGGTCGAATAGTTGCACATCTCTGATGGACAAAGTGGGGATTGTGTGTGTGTGTGTGTTTGTGTCAGTTTGCTTAGTATCTTTGTCGGCAGTGGTGACGTGTATCGATTATTTCAGTTCTCATCTGGACACTGTTAACACAAACTCTACCTTTCTCCAGAAAGAGAGCGCCAAAGTGTTTTAAAAGACCTTTAAAAGTTTCGAGTTTGTACTTTTTTAAAGTCCACTTTGTTATTTTCCACCTATAGTAGCTGTGTCACTTTTCTACCGTGGTGAACAGTTTAAAACATAAAAGGAGCTTTTTTTTTTATATAGCATTTTCCCTTTCAAAGTATTTGTACCTACATTTTTATCTTCTACACTTTTGTAATTACTGTAATATGCTGGCACTTCTTTTGGTGTTTCCATCCATCCATCCATTGTCTATATACCACTTAATCCTCACGAGGGTCGCGTTGGGGCCTGGAGCCTATCCCAGCCAACTTAAGGCGAAGGCAGGAGACACCCTGGACAGGTCGCCAGTCCATCGCAGGGCTACACTTAGAGACAGACAACCAAGCACACTCACATTCACACCTCCAGACAAGTTAGAAGGTGATTCCACTGAAAGAGAAAAATACACCCGTCCACATGACGCCATATTTTGGTTTTTATGTCGGTACTTTTTCATTTTGAACCGAACTCTGGTTGCTTGGAGTATTTTCATTAAGTTATTATTATTTTCATGCTGATGTAATCAGTTGACATATTACTTTTTAATACATGAGCACAGGGAGGTTTTCTCTTCATTATTCAAGTGGATTTATTACTGTTGCAGTCAAGTGCTGAGTAATGTCACCTCTCTGAACTCCACAGAGCTACTGAGAACATGTTGGAGGTTTTATGGTCCTTGATGATCATATCATCAGAAAAGTTTTTAACAGCAAAAACAATTGCAGTTAAACAAGTTTTTTGTGTTGGTACAAAAAGTCTGATGTCGTTCCGCTGATTGGTATCATTATCTGATGTACTGTAGGCCTCACCGCACCGACGTCGCCCTGCCAAACACTCACACACAGCTCCTCTAGAGGACTCCTTATTTATGCTTGAGTAGACTTTTTTTTTTTTTTTTTTTTTTAAATATATCTTTTTTTTTTGCTAGTGTGTACATTATGCTTTTACAAGTTTTGTTTAAAGTAATTTGATAAGCTCAAGCTACCACAATGTTTTCTGAAACCAATTGGGGTCGCTTTTTGTTTGAAAGCCGGCTTTCAGTAATCATGACTGATAACTGCCAATTGTATATTTAACGGCATGAAGCTCAGAAAAAAGTTTTAATGAAGATTTTTATTCCTTTGTTCCTTTTGAGAAGATGTCTAAAATTTTGATTTTGATGAAACTTATTTCTTAAAGCTCTGTTTTAGTAGATTTGAGAAATGATTTGAGATATTACTTAACTGCTGCCAACTGAAAAACAAAACCTTCCACGAAGCAGTGAGTGTTGTATATAAGAGCTTAAACACGTTATAATTTCATGTTTCTGTGCACCACAGTTAAATGTGAATTAACAATTAAACCAATTTAAGAAACCAATGTGTTGGAGGGGGCGATTATTGCTTTGAATCATTTCCTGAAGCACATTTTCATTCTTTATAACGGGAGTGTAATCATCAGTCAGACACTGAAGGGGAGGCCAGGTTTATTGGAGCTGCCAAAAGTTCACCAACTCCAGTCCTGTAATGTAATGTAATGACGATTATCTTAAAAAAAGAAACATCTCTGAAAATCAGTCCTGCTTCTTTTCCTCTGTCTGTCTCACATGTAGCCCATGTTGCTTTTGGTTTCCCATCGCTTCTTCGCCTCAAGGTAAAAACAGCTCCTAAATACTCATTGATAAAAAAAAAAAGAAACCTCATACCTATAATCAAAGTAGACAAAATGAACCTAATCACCCTATGAAGTTACTGCATAGTGCATAAAAAAATTTATTGAATTTCCCTTCTGGGATAAATAAAGTGTTTTTCATTTCATAAAAGCACACATCACTCCCCATTTAAAGAAGTTCTTATCACTTCTGCTGCAGGTGTTGCTTAAAGTCAAATTAAAAGAATCAGTCATACAAGAATCTGTGGGCAGCAAATAGGACATCTGTAGGTTGATTAATGTTTCTGCAAAATCCATTTCAGATCAATCACATTAACTGTATTTTGACAAGTATTTAAATATGTGATGTAATAGATACCTGTCTTTATGCACGTGTGGTTCTACTTCAGGATATCAAGTGTTAACTGCACTCGCATTCATACCTAAATGCAATTTAAAGTCTGCAGTCGGCCAATTTTACATGTTAGACTGTAAAAGAGAACAGATTTGACACAGCGAGGGCCAGAGGTGAGTTTGTGTTTTCACATATTTTATTACTTTATTCTTTTACAACCCTTCACTTAAGTCTTCTTGTGTGCATCAATCCAACCCACTAGAACATGCAGCATCAACCTCAGGCCAGTCAGACGATTTTCAGCCTGAGGCTTCATTCAGTTTCACAGTAGGTAGGAAGCAATGATAGACACACAAAAGAACTCAAACGATGCAAAGATCCTGAAGACGGCTGACACATGATTGACAAAAACAACAAAGTAAAACACACACGCATCCAGTCTCTGTGTGGAGAGTAGAAAAGCACTCACAAAGCGGCCTGCTGGATTTATTATGCTGCCAAAAAAACAAGAGAAACTAGTGGCATGAAAAATATTTTATGTGCAAATTCAGACTGTGGACTTTTTTTTTTTTTAAAGGCCTTCTGCTGATGGTGAGATTTTCTCCTTCCCCAAGAGCTGATCCAGGATCTGCTGGCCTTACTCTGAAATTACAAACATCTCTGTCATCGGCTGCAGTAACCAGCGGGTCGTGGAGCAGCTATGGGGATAGCGTTCCTACTTTTGTCCACTCTTACAGGTTATAGGTCAGTGTGCTTGACTTCTGCGTCGGGCTCTGAGGAGGCGTTCTCTGTAACTACGGAGGAAGTGGAGGATTTGTATGGAGGCTCATCTTTGAACGGGCTGTCTTTGGCAGGCGAGAAGCGAAACTCCTCCGGCACCTCGTCCTCCGGCTGAGCCTTCTTGTAGAAACCCAGTTTCCCCAGCAGCTCGTTAATCTCAGAGCGGGTCATGTCAGACAGAGCAATCCGCTGGGAAGGAAGCGCACGTGTTAATGGATAAATTAACAGTGAATACATTTACTGACTGCCGCATTTAAAATGGCACTAACATGAAATATTGTTGGTGCAATATGTTTTATGAAAACTGAGATGATGGGTTTAAAATGACACACATAAAGAATGTGCAGTTTGTCTTCTTAACAAAGCAGTTTGATATGAAAAAGGTTGATCATTGTGATAAAGACTCATCCCCCAACTCTGCAGATGCTTTAGCTCAGAGCATTTTATATGTCTTTTGGGAGATTGTTGTGGTTTTCCAGCCTGCAGATTTCCTGTTTTGGTTCAGCCTCACTGCTGATACTAACATTGAAACAGACAATTATTGTTAGTGAAGAAGCTCTTGTATAAAAAAAAGACAAAGGTTGCAACTATAGAGTACTATAGAGCCAGATATTTCCCTCAGGAGACCAAAACAGAACTAATATTACAACTCCAAATGAATGCTTCATTTGGTCCATGTCAGCTGAACAGATACACCAGCAAATATTTGCTGCAACATTTGCCATAATCTCCTTTAAAGGGTGGTGTCAGGTGTGGGGAGGATTCTGCAATATGACAAAGCAGACGTTGCTTTAAAATGATGCTCAAAAGTGTGCAGGAATGGAGAACTGACTGGTTTTCAAAGACCTGATTCTGTACCTTAACATACGACACATGATATATTTTACATAATACTGTGATGTTTACAATATTTGAATCAATCAGGTACATTTGCATAATTACTAATATTGTAGGATCCTAACTGTATTATTGTAACTTAATAAGTACATTTGTTATGCTAATCTTGTTTCTCTACTGAAAAGCACTTTGGTTTAGGTATCCGGCGTTTCTGTTGTCTATTAAAACACTGGTTTAAAAAATGTTATTATATGGTATGATGCAACATACTTTATTGTCCCCTGAAGGAGATATTTCTTGAGCGACCATTTCTGCATTTAACATGTGTTTTATGTACAGCAACATATAGACCACACTAATTTTCTTCTGCACTGTAGAAGCATTAAATACAATTAAACAAATGCAGCAAACAAGACTTACATCCAGCTCTTCGTAGTAGTGGTTCAGGAGGACAAGCTCAGGGTCGGCTCCAGGAATGTGCTTCATCACCAGGTTATGGCTGAAGTGGTGAAAGTCAAAGAGAAAACAGCGTCCAATTTATGAACAGACATGTTTAAGAAAAAGCAAATGGCAGTGTACTCGAGTCAAAGGATACTAGAGAGGAATATCCTGGACCACAAAGGCTTTGACCTGCAGACAGAAGTGGGGATTAATGTTTTTTTTTTTCACTTGGAGGCCGGTTTCAGTGACAGATCTGTCAGGGATTATGCGAAACCGTAGACATAAAATGTTTCCCAGAGAGTAAACACTTTTAGGAAGGGATTAGGCTTCAGTGTGCCTCTGACACTGGCTCTCAGTGTGCTGTCTGTTTTACTCCTAACCCGGTAACTTACCTCTCTGAGCCTGTTCAGCTGTCATCCACCGCATGTCTGGAACGAGATGAGACATGAGATGCAGGAGGAGGTTACAAGCAGCTCTCGTGTTTAGTGACATTACTTAAGACTAGAAATAAGATGACTTAACAGCTCTTTTTGCAACTCTAATGTTGTTTTCCTACACGCAGCAGCTTCTTTCTGCAGTTTTTTGGTCAGGATCCGTGTTCAGTAACACTTCAGTGGACCTCTTGGTCATGTTCTGGTATCACTTTTGCTCAGATTTATTCAGGCCTGAAGGGAAGGATGGCTCACCTGGTTTTGCAGATATCTGAGCCTCAGGTATTAGGTGTGGCTGCCACAACAATAGCAACAGATAAAGCTTTTCCTCAGTGATGCTGGCAAAGTTGGGTGATTGGGTGACACCCTGTGGGAAAACTGCACAGTTCCTCACAAAAAAGAGGGGTAGGATTTCAGAAGCTTTTGTGCAGGACCTCCTGTTACACACCCTGAGTCTGCCCTCAAACTAAAACTGATCACCAAGCCACTTTACAGCAGATTTTATGGCTACTGCAACAGCAAAACGGCAGTCTTTGTGCTTGCTGAGGTGCTCTACTGTAAACGCGTCCATTCATCTTACTACCGCTCCGTCCTGCTCTCCTACAAGACTCCCTCACGCATGCGCCCAACATGGCCATTTGGGAAAAGAAGCGCACCGATTCACACGTTTAAACAAATCTGATCCCCGAAAATCGGCCCAGGATTACTGCACATACGCTTTAATTCAGCCCCATTGCGAGGCAGCTTTACTGTACCTCCACCCTCGCTTTGGCCAGCCCGTCCAGCTTCTTCAGATCCACATCATAGGCCGAGGCGCAGTGGAGGAAACCGGCCAACACGATCAGCCACATTTTTCTGTCTGTCCTGCAGTGGAGGAAACCGGCCAACACGATCAGCCACATTTTTCTGTCTGTCCTGGTTCAGATCGAGGACCAGGACGAGCTCCCGTAGCCGGACCTGCAGATGTTTGAAGGTAACTGAGAGGAGGAGGAGGAGGAGGAGGAGGAGGAGAGATGATGAGCAGCTATGTCACGTCCGGACCTCTTTGCCACGTCAAATGTTTCTCCCAGAGGAGAGAGGAGGCGCGGAGAGGGCGCTCATTGGTTATCCGCTGCTTCCCCATCAAGATAAAAGTTAATCCTACAGATCCCATAAGCAAACTGTGGTTAATCCTCCGTAATGTTAGCAGATCTCCTCATAAAACTGCAATAAAGCCGAGATAATGCCTGCTTATTCTTTTGGAGCAAGGTGACAGGTGGTTTCAGGTCGACTTACACCGTCAGTGTGGAAATAAACCCGCACACTGTACATCAAATCACATCAAGGTTACTTAAATAGCGCATTTTGAAACAAACTGAGTTGAAAAAAAAATACTGTACATGTTATAAGACAGTCAAGAATAAAAATATGTGCAGAATAAAGACTTGTAAAACCAGTTAGTCAATTAAAATGACATAAAGTATATAAAATAAGATAATAAAGTGTAAAAAATAATATAAAACACTAAAAACATGACAGCAACTTGTAAGATCAGTTACTCGAATAAAATCAACATAGAATACAATGCTAATAAGTGCAACTAAAACCCTTTAAAAACCTGTATGTCTCAGGATTTTTTCTAAGAATGTCAATGGAGGAGGAGCGTTTGAATGAAAGAGCAACAATATTCTAGAGTTTTGGAGCTGCTGGTGCAAAGACCTGATATCTCACTGGCCTTGACCATGAAACAAAAAACAAGCAGTTGTTGTGAGAATCTAAGAGGCCTTGACATGAAGTCGTTCTGAAATATACCCAGGTGCCAACCCTTGTATTGCTTTTTAAACAAATAAAAATGATTCAGTATTTAAGAGGTAGGCAGTGGATGGGTGCTACTACAGGTGTAATGCTTTTCATTTTTTAGTCTCAGTTAGGAGTCTTGCAGAGTCATTCTTCAGATGAAACAGTGAGGACCGGCCATTACCCAGGTACACAGAGATACACTAATCTAGCCTTGAGGAAATGAGTTTGATAATATTCCACAGTTGAAAGCAGAACCCTTCACCACAGACTTACTGTGATTCTTACATTTAAGAGTTCCAGGACAAGACACAAGATTCCTGGCATGGACATGTAGGTTGGTCTAAGTATCCTAGAGTGGCTGCTGATGGTTCATTGTTTTATTGTGAGGCCCAAAACAATCACTTCTGTCTTTTTGTCATTTAGCTGAGGACAGTTTTTGTCCATCCAGTACTTCACCTCCTGGAGGCAGGTTAAGATGGACGTGATGGAGGTGAAACTAGAGGTAGGCATGTTTGTGTATCATCAGCGTAACAATGGAAGAATGTTTTATGTTTGTAAAATATGGAGATTAAAAGGAGCAGCTACAAAGAGAAAATAGGCCCTAAGATGGAACCTTAACACTCACAGTTGCTGGGTCTAAGTGCACCAAAATGTTATGTTTGGAGAAAATCCTTTGTAAGTTTCTGAGACGCTGTGGCGTGACAGTGTTGTTCGGCCTTTCCCTTCCTTCTCTCTCTGATGTTGAGCTGTTTTTTTTTTTTTTTTACAAATCTATTTGCTGACTTTATGAAAGCCCAAAAAAAGAAGTGCAGCTGCCTTCTGCTGAAGCTCTTAGGATTACTATGACCTGGATGACTAAGAATCTACACAGACGTAGCTACTTTAATTAAGATATGCATAAATTACTGCATGATTACAAGTCTCTACATGTAGTGGAGAAAGTGGTGAAATGATCTTGTGGGTAATAAGACGCTCTTTGTTTCTTGCTAAGTGAAGACTACAAAGTACATCATGTGATCTCGAGCCACACGAAATATTTGTGAAAGTGGATTTTTGCGTCACTATCCTTGAGGCGATTGTTGAAGCCAACATTGTTGGAGAAACACTGAAACACGTGGACTATGAAGTTTCATTTTCCATATATTTGTCTAGATATTACAGCTCAGTTCAACTGGAAACGTTAGATCTGAATAACATTTGATCAGTTGCAGAGGAACAGAAGATGGAGGAACACCGAAAGGATATAATGAGGGGAGCAGGGTACAGCGACGGCTGGTTGTGACACAAACACTGACCTATATACTGCACAAAAACCTGTGTTGTTGTCAGCGTGATTCACAGCAGTGCAGAAGAGAAAGGCAAAGAGCACTGCTGATCTATGCTAGAAGAGGCCAACCGAAAGGATAAAAACAGACAAAAATCTACCCCAAGACGCTCAAGTCTGCAACTGGGCCAGACAATGACACAGTTTTTTTGATGGTGTTCTTATGCAGTCGTGTGCAATCCACTTTCTCTATTGTGCAGACGAATAATATAGGCTGTGCACCCATTTCATGTTACATAGCAATGTTGGGAACACTATACTGTTTGTTTTGATAAATTATTACATTAGGAAAAACATGATTAGTACTTGATACACACAATGTTACATCGCCATAGATATCTATCCATCCATTATCTATACACCACTTTATCCTCTGTAGGGTCGCGGGGGGCTGGAGCCTGTCGCAGATGATGCAGAGCGAAGGTGCATCCTGGACAGCTCACCAGCCTATCACAGGATACAGTAGAGATGCTATAAGTGCATTTCTCTCATGTGGAGATAAAAATATGTCCAGAATGTGCAACAATAATTTTTAAATCACTTCTACAAACCACCAGTAGCTTCAGGCAAACATGTAGCTCATCACATTAACTGCAGTGCACCGCTTTTCTCTGACAAGCTTTAGCCCTAAAGGTCACACACACACACACATACACACACACTTGGGCGGGTACAGTTTTTGACTCATTAATTTTGTAAATGCCACAGACATTTAAGAGGTCACAGAGACTGATGAGGTTCCCTCAGGTGTTGCCACAGCAACATCTTATTGCATGCGTTGGCAAGAAGTAGAGGTGCTTTAGCCTCCTACAAATTAATAAGAGTTTTAATTGTTTTACGGCATCAGGTACATCAGTTCCAAGTCTGTAGTGTGATATGTTTATGTGTCATAAATGTAATTATGTTAGTATGAGTCATGGATAACTTTGCACAAAAGTGCATTGTTGTGCATTGTCGCTACTCCATTGCTTTGCAAATTGAACTGTGCACTGAGGGGCATCCATGTTACTATATTATTTTGTAATTAAAACTCCATCTATGTTACTGTGTTAGAAATTACAAGCCTACAAAGTCTGAATTTCCAAAATGAAAATGTATTGTGCATTGTAATTTTATTGCCATTACTTGTAAATTGACACTGTTGTTGAAATCGTACTGTCACTAACTATAGGATTACTGATTGTATTCTACAACGTGTCAGAAGTATTGGTTGTCATGATTGGTGTTTCAGCGCCATATTTTAAAGAGGTAATCCAAATGTATTCAAGTAATCCTTGACAATGCAACTATAATCTAAATGCACCTTTTTGAAAATGTAATCCACATTACATGTAATCGGTTACTACCTAATATGAGCTTAATCTAAATCTTTCATTGGGCTGTCCTATCGTTGTGGTGACATTGCAATCAATAATAAAAGTAATTCACTGAATTTTAAGTTCTTCTAATGCTGGGAATGCATGAAGATTCTTGTGTTCACTCTTGTAACCAACAGCAGAACATTTGGTGGGCTTTGCTCATGGCTAAGATATTTAAGAGTTAGCAGAAGCAGCTTTTAAAAAAACAAAAACAAAAAATAACAACCGTGTTGGCTGAGAGGCAGCTGCTCATTTTGAATGGCTCACCTCAAAAGCACCAGGAAGTGAGGAGGCTGGATTACACATTAAGTTTTAATTAGTCAACTATTGCTTCATGGTGAAATGTAGAACTGAGGTCAATTACTTACTAGCTCGTAAAGCTGAGAGGCTATCTAGCTGTGGGGGAGTTTGAGGAATGGCAGAAGTAAACGTCCTCATATCTTAACAGCGTTAACTTTACATCTTCAGGTTTATAACAACCACAAACTACAATGAAAATGAATTTTAGCTTCATAGGATCCTTTAAAGTAAAATGTAGTTACATAAATGTAGTGTACATTATTTAATATCCTCCACCACCATTTTGATGCTGGGGTGTTGCGATCTGCCATTTCCATGGTCATTGTTTAGTTCCAGGGCGATGCATTGCAGAATGCAGTCATGAGAATCAGGTTTCATGATTTTCTTTGCAGCTGCTTTTTGGTATTTTGAACTGTAAACTGAAAGCCATGCTCTTTGGACACGTGAGACTTTCATTAATTTTCTGTAAAATGGCACACTAGTTCCATTCACACTACAGCCTGCAATGGTCAGAGTTTAAGGCCCATTATTATGATTAAGTCGTATATCCCAGTTGTATGTATACTGCGCAAAACAGTGCACACTTTGAGAGGGCAGCTTTAGTACATACTGAAAGTAAAAAGAAAAATATGCTTTATCTGTGATCTCAGCAGCTCAAGCTTTTCTACACTTGTGCGAATCACCGTAACCTATTTGGTGTAACTGTGGAGAAGATTCTGGGTCAGATTGGCCAGAAAAGAATGCTGGCTTGCACACTGGAAAATCTGATATAGTAGGACATAATGCTATTTTTGACCTACTATGTTTGACATACTAAATCTCTATATACTGGGGTAGTGTGGATATTGGAATGCACCGACAGAGAGGTTTCTTCCTGAAGGGGGCGTGGTCAGCTCAAGCTCAGCTGCATTTAAAGCTACAGACACTAAAGCCAGTTGCTAAGAAAGTCATGGTGAAATGAACGATCTTTACCATATACTGAGCTAAAAGGAAAGAAAAAAAGAAAACGAAGAACACACTCTGGGGACGTGAGACTTTCATAAATTTGCTGTAAAGGAGATTTAGACTGTGTCTGAAATCACTCACTATATCCTACATAGAGC